GCTAAACTCATTAACACCCCTAATCATGGATATCAGATACAGCATGAACAGAAAAATCAGATGCTTGAACAAGTCCCTTTGATTCATAAGGAGCAATAATGTGAGTATTCTGTTGAAGGGAACCCAACAAATCATTCCCAATGCAATCATACCTGCAAATTAGTGAAATTGAAACAGGTATCAGCGTCAACAAATTTCATGCCAAGTAGTCTTGTTTATTTTCAGCAATTAGATTCGAAGTACTTCGTATATACTTACAGTTTTTTGCAGAGGTCATCAATGGTACAAGTCAATGCAATGACCTGCATCCTTATATGTATCGCGATATCTATGGTATGACTGTAAATAAGCTTCTCCATCAAGTCAGAGATCTGCTCAACTCGAGCTTCTAATTGCTGTTGCTGATTTTCAAAAAGATTCTGTTTAATTGATCTTTCTGTTTCAGTCATCTCACCCTCGAAGAGCTCATTCCCAAACATATAGAAAGCAAATACATACGAGTAGGAAAGAATACGTCTTGACCTAAATAGTCTATCGGCTCCATTTTTCACCCAGCTAAAATCTTGAGTGTGTGTATTATTTTCTTGAGACTTTGGCACCATATGTTTTATTCTCTGCTCTAATTTTGCTTCCAGCTTTATGGAATCCTTGTGGCCCTTGTAATGCCTATAATAGTGTGTACCGATGAAGGTGAATCTTGCCATCCTGCACCTCAGCTGTGGCTTTGTAACGTGCACAACTATGATCAGAGTAGTGAAATTTTTTACCACATGTCCAGCTGTTCAGAAGAATCAAGCAGTGGATCAAATCTCAACTTAAAGCAATGTTTAGGATAAAGAAAAAACATAGGCCAAAGTCGAGCAAGCAAGGAAAAGATCACATTAATGGAAAGGGAATTGCAGTAGCCAAGATTATAAGTGATACATATCCAAGTCTCACCAGAAAAAGCTCCCACAGATGCATCTAACAACGTTACAACCTCCATTCTTCTCCACAGCCTTACCACACGATGGGCAGCATTTTGTATGGACAGTAATCCACACACACGTGTCTGACTCATTACATTTCTTGCTCCACATCTCCCACATCAAGCACGAACAAGGAGAATGCGCTTTAGATAAGCACTTAAAACAGAACAGTGAACCACATCTGCATTCCACTTCACAGAAGGCATCATCCATAATACGAATAGCATTACCACAATTAGGGATGCTAGGGCACCACTTAACCATTTTATTATCCTCGATATATGATTCGAGAAGGAAATGATCAAACTTCTCTACCAGTTCAGGTTTAGTCTTTCTTACTAGATTTCTTACAATGCCTTCATCACATATAGCATTGCATTGGTGAGCCATGCACCTAATCCGCTTACTCTCACCATCGTTTATCTTCACAATAAAATGCTCAGTCCAGCCTGAATCAAAAAAAGAATACAGATTAAAATGTATCACTTTAGAGTAAGATCAGGGTCAGGGGAAGCACCAAATACAGGGGAATTAGACAACAAATCAGTAAGATATGCGTAAAGGGACCTGGTTTTGCACTTTCGCTAGAATAGCTACCCTTACCTATGATAATGGACACGGGAGGGAGGGAGGGAGGGAGGGAGGGAGGGAGGGAGGGAGGGAGGGAGGGAGGGAGGGGGCGGGGGTATTCCTAACCAATCACAATAACAAAGGAAGCAGAAACGTGGTTCAACTTTCCATACAAATACCATGACAAAAACCAAAACATTAATAATTCTCTAATTTCCAAAATTCAAAGTTATTCCCTCTTCTCTATTTATCTTTGAGTGAATTAAAACATCCATAATATAGTTTTTTTTTTTCAACAGGAATGTTTGGCTCTGAAAGCAGAGAAAAGCCTTTGTTAGCTCCTCAAACACATGAACTTGATAAATCTAGCATCATAGTTCAATCATACATAAGATGGGATCAAAGGACTGATATTTTCCAATTGAACTCTACAAGTGATACAATTATTTTTCTACACATATAGAACATAAGAGTATGATGGTCAAAGTTTACCAAAAAAAATATACAGCCTCAAGTATTTCGAAAGAAGTTCTAAACCCAATATAAACAGACTAATCACACTAAAAACATCCAAGCCAAGTGAAATCATTGCTCACCAGACGCGACTAATAGTTACAGTTGACCAGGCTATACAACAGTTAAAAAGGTCATGGCATCTAAATGTGACTCAACAAACTTACACTGCTATCTGTAATTTCTTCTACTAAACCTGAATCTAAACACATTTTAATTTAATAATCCATCTGCATACCCTAACCAACGCTTCCTTTTCTAAGAACGGTAACTAATGGCTTAAAACTCATCACATACAAAGTACAAACATTAATCCTTCAAATACATATGATGCAGGAGGTGCATTACAATCTACAATAAATTACTCACAGTTATTGCAGAAAGTATGCCCACAATCCATCCGTGTTGTCTCATTACAAGGAACATCCTCGATGCAAACATTACAATTGAGAGTTGAAAAAGATAATAAGCCGCGAGCATCATGTTCAAGTTCAAGCACAGTGACTCCAGCTTCAGCAAATAAGTAAGCTTTACCCTTCTCAACAAACACAGTAAATAACCTATCGACATTCCACTGATAGCAAATCAACAAAGTCCGAGCATGGTGTTCTTTAACCAATAACAAGTCCATCACCCTCCGCAAATCCTCCCTCTTAATAAACAAATAAACATATCTGCAATTAGTAAGTAACATTTATGACTAACGGAACATATACAAAAATTATAATCACCTGTGCTATTAATAGTGACTCCCTTGTAATAACCTGCCAATAACCAAAACAGAAAAATAACAAGAAAGGTTAAAGAAAAATAATCTACATTCCAAATTTGATCAACTGAATTTCACACATATATTCAGTTAAAATAACTACTTCCCTGTTTCAAAACCCATAATTAAGACTTTTCCCAAAAAAAAAAAAGCGAAACTGATCAACTGAATTTCACATGAAAATGCATTAGAGAATCGGAAATCATGCATTTAACCATGATTAACAAGTAATATCAAAAACCCTAGTTAAACCTTTCAAAACAGAAATTAAAAAACACATTAATAAAGTTAAATTGAGATATTTTATTGATCAATTTGTCCATCTAAAACCCTAGTTAAACCTTTAAAAAACAGAAATCAAAAAACACAGACCAAAATATTAAATTGAGGAACTTGATGATGAATCTGTCCCAAATTTAGAAATTTACAAGAAATTAAACACACCCAGAACCCCAATCTTGCTAAAATCACCAATTTTGATCAAATTGCATAAAAAGATGATAACTTTTCTCTCTCCTAAAGTACCTGGCAAGAGGGTGTGCTAGAAGAAGACAAAGAAGCGACGGAAACATCTTGAATTCCGTCGACAGAACAGTCGTCATCATTGTCGTCGTCATCTTCATAAAAAAGGGTGGAATCGTAACTTTCTTCTTCATTGTCAAAGTTCAGAGCTTTCATAATGTCGGATGTAATTAGGTGAGTTTTCTTGGATTTTCAGAGAGATTTTGGGTTGAATTACGCCGGCGGAACAGAAGAAAAGTGCAACAAGATACCGCCAAAATTTGTGATTTACTGGATTCAATTATATCATCAAGACTTTACTCAACTTTGACCTTAACCGACTTAATTTAAGTAGTACGGACTACGGAGTACTCTGTTTGGAGTAAACAACTAAATAATGGGTGTATTAAGCACTACTCCCTCTGTTCCCTAATGTTTTTTAAGTTAATTGTGTAAAGTTGAGATATATTGGAATATTTCAATGATTGAAAATACAATTTTATTGAAAAATACAATGTTGAGCATGTTGGGTGAAGTAATTAGAGAAGAGAGAAAGTAATAATAAGTGTTGAAAAACTATTAAAATAGTACAAAAGTACAATAGCACATGAAAAAGTAAAGACTTTTGAGTAAATTTTTTTGTAAAATAAGGGTAATTTTGTCCAAAATAGGAAAGATACTAAATGTAAAGAATAAAAAGAAACACCTTAAATGGAAACGTAAAAAACATTTAGGAACGGAGGGAGTAGTTTTTAAGTTAATTGAGTAACTTTAAGATACTTGTAGTTTTTAGTGATTGAGGTAGTTTTTAATGGTTAGACACCATCGTTATTTGATTAAAAAATTAATCTATAATAGGGTGGTTTTGGTAACTTTTACTAGTTGAGTAGTTGGGTAGCTTCTATTATGTTCTAAAAAAAAGAGCCCTTTCCCTAAATAATGTTGGGAAATTATCTGATTCCCAAATTACAGCTACTCTTTTTTTAATTCCCATTATACCGTCCACGTCAGCTAAGGAAAACAAACCGATTTTTTTTTCTCGGTCAAGCAACAAACCGCTACTTCAAGTAGCGGTTTTCCTCAAAACACTGCTACTTCAAGTAGCGGTTTATGGGTTTGTTTTGTAAGTTTTCATTAAAAACAAAATATCTGTAAATCAGTAATTAGTTAATACAAACCGCTACTTGAAGTAGCGGTTTTCTAATAAACCCGTTTTTTTTTTAAATTCCCACTGAACCGGTGACGTGGACGGTATGGTGGGAATTAAAAAAAGACTAGCTGTAATTTGGAAATTAGATAATTTCCCAACATTATTTAGGGAAAGGATCTAAAAAAATGTAGCTTCTATTGAAAGTATAGAATAAAATTATTACTCCGTAGTTTATAAAGAGTTATTGATAATTTAATGTACAGCGCGTTTTCTGTGCCCCCAGCCGCACCGTACGGCCGTACGCCAGCTCAGAAAAATAACAGAGTATGACAAAAAAATAACGGGATTCTAGAAAACTTTACAAAAAACCGGAAATCAATACTTAACAAAAGCGCGGCTGACACATGCGACACATTTACCAAAAAACCTACCAACACATTTCCCAAAAACCTAAAGTTACTGCAGATTTTTCTAACCTTCGTTTTTTCTCTCACATTCGATTTTCCTCTATTCTTCACCAATTTTTGACATGGATAACGAAGAACAAAATTTTCCAAATTCTCAAGAATCCATGGACATTGAAGAGATAGGCGATTCACTAAGTAATTTAGAGATCGAAAACAAAGTTAGAGAAATCAAAGAACACATACTGGAAAACATCGAAAGACAAGGTAAACCGATTTTTCTGCAATATGATGTGTTTTATGTTTCAATGAATTACAAAGAAAAAACTTACGAATATAAAAGTAACCTCTCAAGTAACCCAATAAACACCCCTATGTTACCTCCAGATATAAAAGTAACCCCATTAGTAAACTCTCTGATAACCCCATGTAACCTCTCTGGTAACCACGTCGTAACCTCTCTGGTAACCGCGTCGTAACCCGTATATTAACCCTTGTCGTAACCCCTGTGGTAACCTCTTTGATAACCGCTATAGTAACCTATAGTAATCCCTTTGGTAACCCCTATTTTAACCCTTGTCGTAACCCCTGTGGTAACCTCTTTGGTAACCCCTGTGGTAACCTCTTTGTTAACCCCTATAGTAATCCCTTTGGTAACCCCTTTTTTAACCCTTGTCGTAACCGCTATGGTAACCTCTTTGGTAACCCCTATAGTAACCTCTTTGTTAACCCCTATAGTAATCCCTTTGATAACCCCTCTAGTAGCCTCTTTCGGTAACCCGTCATGTAAACCCTCTGGTAACCACTCAAGTAACCCCTCTAGTAACTCCTCAAGTAAACCCTAAGGTAACCCCTAAAGTAACTCCTAAGGTAACTCGTAAAGTAACCCGTAAGGTGACCCCTAAAATAACCCCTCATGTAACCCTTCTAGTAACCCATCAGGTAACCCCATTATATAATCCTGTTGCCAAGTTCACTGGTAACTTTTTTGGTAATCCCACTATACTAACCCTTTTGGTAACCCCTATTTTAACCCCTGTGATAACTCCTATGGTAACCTCTTTGGTAACCCCTATAGTAACTCCTCTAGTAACCTCTTTTGTAAGCCCTCTAGTAATCCCTTTGGTAACCCCTCTAGTTACATATTTTGGTAACCCCTCAAGTAACCCCTATAATAACCCCTAGGGTAACCCCTCTGGTTACACTTAAGTAGCTTCTCATGTAACCACTCAAGTAAACCTTCTGGTAACTCTACTGGTAACCCCTATGGTAAGCTGTGAGACATCCATTTTGGTAATCCCTATGGTAATACTTCTTGTAATCCCTGTAACCCCTGCAATAACCTCTAAGTAATCCTTCTAATTACCTCTAAGTAAAAAACCCTATTTTTTTACTAATTATCTGTATCTAAATTTTTCTTTTACATTAATAACAGGATTAAGTGACAACACAGCAGAAAAGACTCAGAGTACAATAACAGAAGAAAGCTCAAATGAAAACAACCTGACACAACAGAGTAAGACTCAACAAGATGAAGATTTTGACTATACAGGAAACCTGATAGGATTTACAGCAAAAACTTTGGATGAAATTTGTGAGATATATAAAAAGCATGCATTTGCTATGGGATTTGGCATAAGACTATCTACCACCAGATGGACTCAAGGAGATAACAAAAAAATAAAGGGAAAAGATTTTGTTTGTTCTAAAGAAGGATTTAGATGTAAACCCAATGTTCAAAAAACTCCTCCTCCAGCCAATGAAACCAAAAGAAAAGTAAAACAAGTTCCTAATACAAGAACAGGACACAAAGCATTTATAAGAGCAAAAAAAAAACAAGGAAGGTCTATTTGAAATAGAAGAACATGTCATCAATCACAACCATGAGTTAACAAGAAAAGCATGGCAACATCTACACAGAGAGAAAGATCAGTGAAGATAAAGCAAAATTAATTGACCTTATGGCAGAGAGTGGTTTAAAGCCAACTGAAGCTTACAATTTGATGACTAATGAAGCTGGTGGTGAAGATTTGTTAGGACATACTTTGAGGGACCATTTAAACTACATATCAAGAAGAAAAATGAAAGAAATTGAAGGGGGTGATGCACAAACTGTTATAGACAATCTATATAAAAGACAGGCAGAAGAAGAAGATTTTTTCTTCAGATTTAAGCTAGGAGGTGATCAAAACACAAACAGATTAACAACCATATATTGCAGAGACTCTGAAATGAAGGAATACTTTGATATCTATGGTGATGTAACTGTTTTCGATACCACATACAGAACTAACAAATACAACCTCATATGTGCACCTATAGTGGGAGTCAATAATCATTGGCAGAATGTGATGTTTGGGTGTGCATTTATAGCCGATGAGAAGACTGACACGTTTGAGTGGGTTTTATCAACTTTTAAAAAGTCTATGGGAGGGAGTCAGCCTGTTACAATATTCACAGATCAAGACTTGGCAATGTCAAATGCAATTGAAAAGGTAATTCCCTAAATTATGTTTGTATAATTAATTGATTTAGTAACTTGTAATTAGAAGATTACATAGGATTACTTGAGAGTTACTTTTATAAAATAGAGTTACTTGTATATATAGGGTTTTAATAACCAACTAAATAACCCACTGTATAAATTGATTAAGTAACCCCTAAAAGTTATCCCTATATGTTAAATTCAAAAAATAACCCCCTAAGTAACCCCCTAAATAACCCACTGTTTAAATTGATTAGTTAACCTCTAAAAGTAATCCCAGTTTAAATTCACTAAGTAACCCCATAAGTAACCCACTGTTTAAATTGATTAATTAACCTCTAAAAGCAATCCCTGTTTAAACCCCATAAGTAACCCCCTAAGTAACCCACTGTTTAAATTGATTAATTAACCTCTAAAAGTAATCCCTGTTTAAATTCACCAAGTAACCCCATAAGTAACCCTTAAGTAACCCCCTAAGTAACCCACTGATCAAATTGATTAATTAACCTCTAAAAGTAATCCCTGTTTAAATTCGCTAAGTAACCCCATAAGTAACTCACTGTTTAAATTGATTAATTAACCTCTAAAAGTAATACTTTAATTTCCTTGTATACTTACAGGTATTTCCTCATTCAAGGCATAGGTTGTGTATTTGGCATTTAATAAAAAATGCTGTTTCAAGATTTGGATCATTAAAACGAAACACATCTTTCAAAGATGCATTCAATAAATGCCTAAGTGGTTGTATCACAGCAGAAGAATTTTTAGAGATTTTGAAACAGAGTTTAGTTATTCAACAGGATGCATAGCATATCTACATGGTCAATTGGGAGATCATTATTTTTATGAGGTGCAAATTGAAAATGACATATCAACTAAGCAGAAGGTAACATTTGTCAGTACACAAAATCAAGTTGCATGCTCATGCAAAAATTTTGAAGAAGTAGGATGGCTTTGTTATCACTGTTTACGTATCTTACACCAGCACTCTGTTACAAGAATTCCACATCAATATATATCAGCAAGGTGGACAAAGTTAGCTAAAGCTCATGTGTGGAAAAAAAAAAGATGACAATGGAGCAGAAAATTCAACAGAGAAAGAAAAATACATGCCTTGGCGTCATACAATGGCAAGAAAGACTTACAATCTTGTTCTTAAATATCAACACCACAAAGAGACACGAAGCTTCATAGAGAGACAACTAAGGAAAATTGAAGAGGATGCTGAAAAAATAAAAACACAACTAGAAATGCAAGAAGCACAATAAGAAGGAGAACAATCTAATGAAACATCAATACAGCAGCAAAATGAAGAAGAAATACCAACAGTGAAGGATCCAGAAAGGGCAAACACTAAAGGAAGAAGCAAAAGAATTAAGGGGCACTTTGAAAAAGGAAAGCAACCTAAACCAATGAAAACAAAAGCAATGCAAGCAAGAGGAGACACAAGAGAGTTTGGAACAGTCACACCAGTTCTAAATCCAAAGTTGTTTTAGTTTTATTATAATGTTTGTTTATTTCAAATAGTTCTAGTTTTAGTTTTATTATTATGTTTGTTTATTTGAAATAGTTCTATTTTTATGTTTGTTTATTTTAAATAGTTCTTTACTACTGCAAAATTTTCTTTAAAATATAAACACAATAGTTAAAATTTTTATAATTTCTATACAACTAAAAAAATAACAACATAACAAAACCATTAACAACAGAAAAAACCTAAAAAACCCACAGGAAATAACTTAAGTAACCACTAGAGTAACACCCTAACAAAACATTTAAGTAACCTACCTGGATATTCCCAATTTCTAATTAAATTAACCCTTCTAATAACCCCTCTGTAAATATGCTCTCTTTTAACTTATACATTCTATAAATCTGTTAAATAACCCCCTAAGTAACCCTCTAAGTAACCCCATAAGTATATTATTGTACAAATTAATTAAGTAACCCCTAACCCATAACCAATAAAAACAAACAATAATAAATAAAAAAACAGAGAATACAATAATTTAATTTTTACAAATTCTAATTAAATTAACCCTTCTAATAACTACTCTGTAAATATGCTCTCTTTTAACCCCCCATGTAACCACCCTCAAGAAAACTCTTAAGTAACCCCATAAGTAACCCCCTTACTTATACATTCTATAAATCTATTAAATAATAACCCCCTAAGTAACCCTCTAAGTAACCCCATAAGTATATTATTGTACAAATTAATTAAGTAACCCCTTACTTCAGTTATTGGATATGTATCTTTATCCAATTCGCCAACACCATAAACTGAACACTCATTAGCCAACCTTTGTCTAATATCAGAATTACTCCAATGTTTGATCAGTGGCAGAGAGGTAGGACAAGCAATACCTCTAAACTGAAGCCGATGGAAATAGCTAATTTGCAGCAATAAAACACAACCAACAATATAACTTTGCTTAGGTTTATAACCATTTAACTTATCAGCTAAATCATCAAGTACATATTGACACCAATTATATTTGGCAATCATAGACACATCTTCCAAAGCTAAAACAAGCTTTAGATCAGCCAACCTATTTGTAGTGGGTGTTAGCAATGTGATCATTGCAAACATCAAAAAACACTTTTTAAACTCTGAATTCCCAGATTGCATACCCACATCTGATTTCAGTAATTGCTCCAACTGATTCACAGTGATTACGGACTTTGCATTCCCATATTTTTTTCTCCAAGCAACCTTTAAATCATTATCTCCCCGAGCGAGAATTGGAATAGGCAGAGAACCCATTGGAATCCCAAATACATCATGCACATCAGCAGCAGTTAATTGAAACTTCTCACCACTAGGCATAACAAACATCCTACTGCTAGGAACAAAACATTTGCAAAGCCATTGTATCATTTCCCTTGGGAATTCAGTCATTTTAATCGAAAACAAGCTCCCAAAACCAATATCATAAACAGCTCGTCTTTGTTTTTTATTTTCAGCTATCAATTTCATTAATTCAGCTACACCAGAAGGTCTACAACGAACAGTAACATCAGAAACCCTAAACAAAAAAAAAAAGAACATGAATTAAAAATACAAATCATAATAAAAAATAAGAAGTAACCCCTTAGTAACATCATATATAACTAAAATATATAAAGAATAAAAAAAGAAGTCAACTAATCCCTTAAGTAACCCCTAATAAATTCTCAAGTAACCCCATATGTGCATATTGAAACAAATCATATAAGAAAAAAAAAAACATCAATTAAAAATACAACTCATACTAAAACATAACAAGTAACCCCTTAAGTAACCTCATAAAAAGTAAAAAGAAATTAAAGCATTTCGAGTAACCACTTATATAACAAGTAACCCCTTAAGTAACCTCATAATAAGTAAAAAGAAATTAAAGCATTTCATGTAACCCCTTATGTAAGCCATAATAACTCCTCAAGTAACCCCATACTGCATATTCAAACATATTAAGTATCCACTAATATAACCCTAGTAACTAAAAAGTAACCCCAGATATAACCCCCTAAGTATTATAATATGCATATATTAAAACATATAAATATTACATAATTTATCTTACCCTTTTTCAATATCAACAACTTCAACAACTTCAGCATCTGCGCCTTCTTTTAATGTAGAAGCTCTAGTAGAAGGTTTCAACTCAATAACAGATTCAGAGAGAGTTGTTGATGTTTTTGCTTTCCTAGCCTTTGGTTTTACATCCACATCTTCATCTTTAACCAAATTCCTACTTCTCTTCTTAACACCTACTTTTCCCTCAAAATGTTTATCAGTACTCTTGACTACCAAAGCTTTTGCCTTAACCTCGGCATCTTCAACAGCTTGTGTCTTAACCTCAGCATCTTCATTCTTATTCTTCACTGAGTGACAAGTATCTTTAGCCAATAAGTACAATTGTTTAGCAGGAGGTATAGAAGAGAGAGTTGTAGCATCATCTTGGATTCTTGGTCATTAAGCTCAGTAACAGAAGCATTATCCAAAACTTCAGCCCCATCAACAACAGAATCAGCAGCAGTATTTCCAGAAGCTTGCTGCAAAACTTCAGTGCCACCATCATTCACAACACCTACACAAGCAACAAAATCAAATTAAATAAAGTAACCCCTTTAGTAATCCTTAAAGTACCAAGTATAGTAACCTCTCTAATAATAACTTAAGTAACCACTGTGGTAACACCTATAATAACATCTAAAAATAACTTAAGTAACCCTTGTAGTAAACCATTTAATAACTACTAAAAATCACTTGTTAAGAAACCCCCTGTGATAACTAGTGACTTTTAAGTAACCACTTAAGCAAAACTCCTATGGTAGCTAAATCCTAGTAACTTTAAAACTAACCAATTAGATAACCACTTAAGCAACTCCTGTGCTAGCTAAATCATAGTAACTTTAAAAGTAACCCATTAGGTAACCCCTGTACTAACTCCTTAAGTAACCCCTGTGATAACTCCTATAATAACTCCTATGTGGTAACCTGATAAGTAACCCCTCTTGTAACCCCATCCAGTAACTAATGTCTGAAAACATTTAAGTAACCCCTTAAGTAACTCATGTGCTAGCTAAATCATAGTAACTTTAAAAGTAACCCATTAGGTAACCCCTGTACTAACTCCTTAAGTAACCCCTGTGATAACCTCTATAATAACTCTTATGTGGTAACCTGATAAGTAACCCCTCTTGTAACCCCATCCAGTAACTAATGTCTGAAAACATTTAAGTAACCCCTTAAGTAACTCCTGTGCCAATTAAATCCAAGTAAATTTTAAAGTAACCCCTTAGATAACCCATGGACCAACTAAACTCTAGAAAACCGTTTATATAACACCTTTCATATGTAATACAACAACTACAATCAAGTAACCTCTCTAGTATAAAATGTAGTAACCCCTAAAGTAACCCTTACAGAAACCTCTTAAGTAACATATATGCTAAAGGCTACAAAAAACACACAATAAAAACAACAAAACAGTAGATATTTTAATTTTCATTTTTCTGATACATAAACAACTACAAAATGAACAACAATCAGTGACTTAAAAATTAAATCATTAAAAACTAGGACAAAAATAGATCAAAACCTTTAAAAAACAAAGATTATAAAAAAAAATGTAACATATAACAATAAATCAAATAAGTATACACTTCAATTTCGATAAAACAGAAAAAAATCATAGAACTATACAATTCAATTTGTTTGAAACAGAACAAAACCATACCAAAAATAAATGTATAAAACAGAAGAATTAACACAAATTATAATAACCAAAGTTAAAAATGCATAACAATAAACTACATTAAACGATCAACAAACAGCGAAAAAACCATAAAAAAACGTCAAAATTACATCCTAGGGTTTGAAAATTGATATTATCAAACATAATTCAAAACAGAAAAAACATCTGGAAATACAAATAAAGAAAAACTAGGGTTCATAAAACGTAATTCAAAAACGAAAAAAACAACTATAAAGAAAAATTAGGGTTCAAACAACGAAATTAAAAACGAAAAACATAACTAACAAAATCTAACCAAAAATGAACAACAAATTACAAAATGCAAAATAACAAACCCGAATCATCAGTATCTTTAATTGTAGCAGAATCTGAAATTAAAAAAAATAAAAATATAAGTAAAAACTAAAAAATAATCGAAAACAAAATGCAGAATTAAAAGATACAAAAAAGCGCAAAAAAAAAAAAAAAAACCTGAATCGTCGCCATTTTTGTTCGCAGAAGAAGCTTTGCTACCCTTACCGTAAACGATTTTGATTTTTCCCATTGATGAACAAATTAGAATTAAAGAACAAAGAGAATTTGAAAGAAGAAAGAGGAGAGAGAAAACACTGAAGTTAGAGAGAGAAATTCAAAGACAGAATGCAGAGTGAAGTGACAAGAGAGAGAAATGGCGGTTTTCTTTTTGGAGAAAAAAGAGGAAAAAAAAAGAAATTCAAAACTGATAACGATACCCCGTTATAACAAAACGCCGTTACGAGTCTGGGCCGGCCTTGACACGCTTGGGCCTAATATTGTGGCTGGCCGCATGGTATTGCCAACCACATATGAAAGTTTGTGTTTGATGTATACTTTGCTTAAGAGGGAAAAAAAAAATATTTTAAGAGGAAAAAGTAATTTTAAAGCAATTTAAAATAATACTAACACTTATACAGTTATACTACTCCGTACTCTTTTACTGGTAGATTTTATTTAACATAGTTATTTATCTTACAATTAACATTCACACTTCTAGTAAAATTCGTCAAAACCTAACTCTTTTACTAGTAAATTTTAAATAAATCAATAATAATATATATTATCAAATTTAGCATTAAGTTGCCAGAAATAATACAATAATGATCCGGTCTTCTAAAATGAAACAACTTTTTTTTTTATTATCTCAGGATAATATGATGTTTAGATACAATGATCAAGTGTTGTAAAAATAAAAGCAACTTTTATAATACAACCTCTAGAAGTTTAGACGGTATATGCTCAAATGTATTGTGATTGGTTAATAATTTTTATTAACAATTAAATGTATTAAAATAACTTTTTCTACTATAACCCCTCCCCACCAATATCTTTTATGTTTCTAATGTATATTGGATCAAAACCTATTTCATGTGATCAAACATTGAAAACGAATCATGCAAGTCCTTGCTGCATGACTAATATTACGTAAATGATTTCTTTTTATATACAATGTACAACATTTGTGTTCATTACATGAATATCATAGTGTGACTATGCATAATCTTCCTCCATTTCTACTCGTATTTAGTTGACACGTTTAATTTAGGCACACATATTAAGGAGAGGAGATGAGAGAGTTTGATAAAGCAAGTGGGGTATACTAAAAAAACAAGGCATAAAAATTATCCTAAAAGAAAACGTGTCAACTAAAAATAAACTCCTAAAAAGGAATACGTGTCAACTAAAAAAAACGGAGGTAAGTATAATTTAAATACATTTTATTTTTTTGACATAAACCGAGCAATTCATTTAAATACATTTTATTTGAATGTGAAAATGTATTGAAAATATAGGATCAAGTCACATCTAAAATGTAAAATATGTACTGAAAATGTAGGATCAAATCACGTCTAAATTACTACCAATTGTTGCTCTTTAGTTCATAACATTGTTAATGCGACACCAATTTCCTTATCAATGGAGTTATACATAAAATAATCCTAAAACTTTACAATCATGATTTTCTTGGAAAAATATGATCAAGTACCTTTATTATCAATCATAAATCAAGAAACTCTTTGGATGAATTCATCACAAGAAATCTCTGAATCTGCCACAACACTGTACAGCCATTGCCAAATGTAGCATGCATCAACTAACCCTCGACCTTTTATTCGATCTATCAAATTTTGAAGATTCGTCGATTTCCACCATCCACCCTACAAAACCATCAAAAGTTGGTTAATTATCCATCTTAAAATTGCGAATTTTTAGCATGATGTACAATATGGGTTAATATGATATCCTCCTTTATCTTTGTTAATTGAAATGGGATACATACAAAAATAACAAAAATTGACCAATCTATTTACCATTTATCTCTTCCTCTGATGGTATGCCTTGACTGCCCATGTTAGACAGGCTAGCAGAGAACTCAGACGCCTTCTCAACTCCATCTGATCTGTAAGGCGCGATATTATGAATATTGCAACGAAGGCAGCCTAGTAAATCATTTTCAATGCAATCATACCTACATCATTGTTGTTAAAACAAGATCAGCATTGGAATTTAAACATGAATAAACACAAAAACATGCTTGCAACTAAGTGTTGATATAGAAGATGCAGCACTTACATACTCTTGCAGCACTTGCCAACAACATTAGACAAAATAATCACTTTTGATCTTATAGCCTTGACTTCTTCATCCACAGAGTACTTATCTAATGGCTCTTCTATTAACCTTGAGAGTTTCTCAACATTAGCCTCGAATTGCTGTTGCTGATCCTCGAATAGATTCTGCTTAATCTTTTTCTCTCGTTTACTCAGGTCGTTCTTGAATAATTCATCTCCAAACATGTAAAAGGCAAAGGCATACGAGTATGATAGAGCCCGTCTTGACCTGAATAATACACACATTCCTTTCTCCAACCAGTTAAACTCTCGAAGCCCTGTCTCCTCTTCACAAAAGGATATCTTCATTCTTACTGTTTTCTCTAGTTCAGTCTCAAGATTTAAGGAATCTCTATGTGCTTTGAACCGTTCATAATAGTGCCTATATCGGTAGAGGGTCTTTCTTCTAAGCTCAACTGAATCGTCTGGGTCTACATAACGCCCACAGGCATGGTTGTAGCTCCTTGCTTGCATACACACCCAACTATTAGAAACAATATTAAACAAACACTTAGCAAAGTCGATAATAGCACAGAGCATATCTAATTCTGTACCCAATCAATCAATCAAAGCCTTAATCCCATAAGCCTTAATAGCACAGAGCATATCTAATTCTGTATTATATCTTTAAAATACTCTCTTCATCTTATTAACTTTTTATGTTGTCACAAAAAGTTACAATAAGTCCAATTAATAAGTTCTGTAATCGAGTGAATACTTCATTGAAAAAAAACCATTTGATTGCCTAGCCTTCTAATCGGAACTTGTTCAAAATTCTTAGAAATGAAAAGACAGTAAGAATAAAAGAGCGAAGCAAACTCACCAGAAAGGCTTTCCACACAAACATCTAACAATATTGCAGCCTCCATTCTTCTCCACAGGCTTATGACATGATGGACAGTTCTTCGTATTGATCTTAATCCAATTTAGGTTCATCGATTCATCTTTCCACTTCTTTGTCCACAATTCCCACATCAAACATGAACAAGGAGAGTGTGCTTCTGATAAACAGCTAAAACAAAACTGTAAACCACATGTACATCCCACCTCGCATAGCACATCACCCTCAACACGTATAGCATTTCCACAATGAGGAACACTCGGGCACCATTTCACCAATTTATTCTCCTCAATGTATGATTCTAGTAGAAATCGATCAAATTTCTTTGCTAGATCTTGATCTCTCTTGCTTACTAGGTTTCGTATGACAGATTCATCACATATTGTATTGCATTTGTGTGACATGCACTTAATTCGCCTGCTATGACCCTCCCTTATCTGCATAATAAAATGCTCTGTCCAGCCTAAAAAGCATATACGACGTACAATAAATATAATAGTGCTATTAGTTAATAATATGAACAATAAAAAACTATGGTAGCAGAGATAAACATGCAATTAAAAAAAATGTATTCAAATTGCTCTAACAATGTTTCAAAGTTTTTTCTTTGATTTTGCTATTGCAGTTTACAGACATAAAAAGTAGCCAAATAAAATTTTGTCCCAAATGTATAGGAAAATAGGAACTCCTAGTGGATCCTTGGCATTGGGGTCCGATATCAGGTAAAGTTACATTCCTATATGGTAAAGAAAATCATACACACAAAATATCACAAATTACCCTGCGATTGGACTAACAGAATCCGATTCATAGGAGTGTTACTTTTCGTGCCAACAAAACAGATCAATTTCATTAGCAATGTAGAGTTGTAGACCATAATTGGTCATTAGTTTGAATACAAGTAAATAAATGCATATTACCATTGACCAAGTTTAGTGAAGTAGGAGTACTTACAATTGTTGCAAAATGTATGTTGGCAATCCATTTGAGTTGTTTCATTGTACCGAACATCCTCCATGCAAACATTACAGAAGAGAGTTGAAGAAGGCGATAAGTAGGTGCCAAGATCAGGGCATTTAACCATTTTAACTCCAGCTTCCGCAAACAAGTGATCTTTGCCCTTCTCAACAAACACCGTGACTAGCTTATCAACATCCCAATGGTAATGAATAAGTAAAGTACGAGCATGGTGTACTCCCACCATCAATAAGTCCATCACTCTTTGTAAAACATCCCACTGACAGAAAAACAGAAATGATCCTAAAATTAAAACAGGGAATTCGAAATACTATATCAAAATATAAACTTGTTAGAAAGAACTAAAGGGTAAAATATACCTGTGCAGCTAATAGAGAGTCGCTTGTAATAACCTGCATGAACCAAAATAGGAAATCATAACTTGATCATATGCAATCCCAATCAATATCATTAGACTGTTGGTAGTTCCAAAACTTCCAAAATCATTTGACATGTATTGACCGATCCGATTCATGCAGATACAAATAAATTCCTGTACATCAGATCATCCTTGTGCAAATAATGGAATACAGAAAAGAGTTTCAATTCCTAATTGTTAACAAAAATAATAGAAAAATAAAAATCAGCAAAAGAGATGACCTTTGCCATTGTTGTTAAGGTTTAGCAGCCTCCAAGTATCACATCAAGGTATAACAAAATCAGTTTCAGATTTTCATAGAATTTCATAAGAGAATTTAAATTCAAGGCAGTGTAATTCGCATGAATGAAGTCCATGGAGGCTAAAATGACCAACTTTAGACCTTTTGTTCGATTTCAAACTTCCAAGAATAATCAATGAATTTGCAAAGCAAGTTGGAAGAGAAAAACAATAACACGCTACCTACCAAAAGCAGGTAGGCCAGGTGTTTATTAGTAATACAGAGTACCATCCAATGTTGCAATTGTTAAAGAACGGGAGATTACCTAAATTTGAAACGCTATTAGAGATACTTTTTTTTAGTAATGTAAGTGGAAAAGACTTAGTGGAACAAACTATTCCAACTCTTTTTAAATTCACACTACATAAAAGTAGAGCTCAACTTTGCTTCTTCAATTCAACAACTTGTCATTTTGTGCTTAGCTTTTTCTCCTAAGAAAGGCATCTAACTAGAAAAACGCTTTTTATTGGCCCTTATTCTTATTATTACGTACGTATATAGTAAAATAATATGGAAAAAAAATGCTTTGTTTTAAAAAGAGCCCTTATTTCCACTATTTACTTACAAGTCAATTAAGCCAATTTGTCAAGATCAATTAATTACCTAATTATCACTTTTCATATGAACTATTAGTTAATTAGTTTAATACACATGATACTAACGAGACTAAAATATCATAATTATCTTCTTTTAAGTTAAATCCCAAGTTAATTAGGACTTAAGTAATGGCAATAGAATTAAAAAAAAAAAACTTTAGTATAGTAACATAATATAAATATCATAATTATTTTTTGAGATTTCAAGTATAGTCTCTTAAAAGTAACCCAGTGAATCACGATTGGTCTAAAAGTATGTTCTCTTCAGCTTATTTTTTCAATTCAGTTCAGTTCTTAATTTCTTTCGCCCATAAAATATTCATTTAAAACATTAATTCAATATTGATAATAAAGATGAGTCGAATTTCAATTTCACATAACTAAGATTGAAACATAATATTAGGGACAAAAGAAGTATGAATAGGGAATAATTGAGGAAAATGACGCGTGAAATCCATGATAATCTGAATATATGTAGTGTAGTACGTAAATGGTGGATCAGATTGAAATAAGAAAGAGTAGTTTAAGAATAAGGGTAACAATCTTTAAAAAACAGAGCAAGTAATAAAGAATTACAGAAAAAAAAAAAAAACAGGACCTGACATGAAGGGAGAGAATGACATTGATGATCGGTTTTAATATCGTCAAATTCAAGGTCATCGTCGTCATCGCTGGAGTTGTGCGAATAATAGTCGCAATCGGCCTCGCTAATGCTATCATCCATGTAATCTGGAACAGAGCAAGCAAGATACAGAGAGAACAAAATCAAGTGATATGATGATTTTCTTGATTTTGCAGAATACTAGGTTTTGACTTGTTAATTTTTTTTTTTTTAAAGACTCAATTGACTTTGTTTCTGGTGAGATTAGTTTTATACGGAGTACTGTGTATTTATACTTTTATAAGTGAAAAAACTTGAGCACATCCTCCAGTTGACCTTGACTTTTAATCGTTTTATTAATTAGTCATTTTTTTTAAAATGTTCAGAAAGTACACAAATGCTAAGTTTTTTTTTTTTTTTTTTTTTTTGTGTAAAGGTCGTTCAATATATGAGAACTGGCCTTAAGTATCAATGTATTTGTGTATGCTTATGAATTATGGTGAATATGGTCGTGTGGATGTTAAATTGTCACTTTATTAAGTGTTACAAGTGTATGACATACTTTCTTCGTTTTATTTTACGCGTCTCAGTTTGATTTTTGCAATATTCATGTATACCACTTTAACCGTTGTTGGCACTAAACCCTCATGTTAGAAACATATGAATTTGTCATTCATTAAAAAAGGAAATAAAATATCGGGAAGCTAAAAATTCAGGATGAAACTCCTTCAAATTCACAAGTATTTGAAATACATGTAAGATGTAAATAGGCCACTGTATTTAGGAGTTATACTGGAAAAGGAAGATGTCTATTATTTTGAAATGATAATAAATTATTAATGGGAAAGTGCCAAGTGGTAGTCTATTGGTACAAACTTAGAGAACGAAATTTACGTGTTTTTTTTTTTTGGAGTTAGAACCCTCTTGTATGAGATTCCATTCCTAAAACGTCTAACCAAACAATAAAATGGATGGATGAACTCTAACTCCATTCCAGAAGCTCCAACAAAATGACCCCTTTAATAAAATGAAAACAGTAGGACACTGTCTTAGAGGGCAATTCCTGATGCTATATTGCTATGGATCACGCAATTGGATAATAAGATCTGCCCAATCATTTGAGCAAATAAGGACTAATGATTTGATATGCAAAACATGATTCATGAACACCATTAGAAAGGTTAACAAGAGAATAAGATTGCAAAAAACCCTATTACAACGACACCGCTTCTTGACCACTTCACCTTTTTAGTTGTCCTCCAGTTCAACAATGTTGGTCCTGAATAAGAAATCTTCACCTTCCAATTCATCTTGATACAAGCAGATTGATGGAAGGTTTAGCCTTTCACTAGGTTGATAATTATTCAATGATCTTGTGCCCTGTGGTTTGTAGCATAGAAACATAATTCACTTGCATTTAGAAAAATTAGTAATAATAGAGCTGAACATAATTATGCATGATCAAGATGCAGTCTCATGGTATTCAAATTGCATATTGGAAAGAAAAGATAGCATCATTTGGCCTAGCTAGTTATTGCAAGTTTAAGTGAAGCATAGTAACATACATCCAATAATATGAATGACATGTACCGGTAAAGAGGTATACAGGTTTCTATGACACACAAATCAAGTCCTCTTGTCTACTATTCTCCTCAAATACTAGTTACAAGTATTCTATAAGTTCAATATCACTCTGATTCTCCATTTCACCTCAATTGCTCAAATATGAAACTCAACATCAAACATGAGTATGTTCATTTTGGACAAAAATTAATGCAAGTTTTCATGATGGTTGTGTTGTACACTTGGCACTGTATCCATCTTCTAACCAAATCTGAGTAATATAACAGCTGATATATTCCAAGAGTTTATACAAGATAAGCTTATCTTAAGAAATTGTTTCTTCAATTGTTATAAATTAGAATAGACTCATAATGCTGGTTATAGGAATATGTAACAAATTCCTTCAGTAAATAAATGTTGGTTATGTTCTCACACCTAAAACCATACCTATTTCATAAAACATAAAGCAACTAATCTAACCTTCTTTAGAGTGTAGAAAAAATAATGGAATCCATCCCCAAAGGTGCTCCATTTCATCGACCATGTAAAATCAGGAGCTTCAAATAATGGACGCCTAAAGTGTGGCTGCAGCAGAAAGTTAAGAAATAAAGAAGAGAAAAATCCATGCTAGATCTTATATAATTCAGTGAACCAAAGTGTGAATGTACTACCTGCCCGAAAGAAATTGATATGTAGATACCATTTGGCTTCAAGACCCGATGGATGCCTTGAAGCATTGCCATGACCTTGCTAACGGTTTCAGCTTTTGGGTTCCATGGATCACCACTGTCCACGAACAATACATCCTTGAATGACAAGTATATCCAAACTTGGCAGATTAAAAGCCAATTGCACTTGCAAACGAAATAGTTAGGGCTAAGCTACTAATATTGTTCTCACCATTGTTCCTTTCTCAATAACCACATCAAAAGAATCATCTGCGAATGGCAAGTCTAGCATGTCCGCAACCATGGCCTTTATCTCTGACATTTAAGGCAGCACATATCATCCAAAGTTAAGATAAAGGGGGCAAGAAAGTGCAAAAATCACTACTGTTAAACCAAAATATATTCATAATCAATCAAGACAAACAGCTTGACAATCAGACTTTCCACAAGTGGTTAAACCTCAAATCTTCTCTAAATTCACATTGAATTTTAATGAAAGGGCAACAATTAGCAACACCAACATATTGCATAAGCACAAAATGATGTACACCTTGAAAATATCCGAGGATGTCCATGGAAGGCTATGTTGTTCACACCAAAAATCAACAGCATTATACGAGATAATCACAACAATAGGCTTATAAAATTCAATCCAAATCCAAAATTCGAAGCCGGGACAAACTTAAAGTGGCTAAATGACAACAATGGCCAACAATTCACAGCAGCAAGCAAGATGATTGTAACATTGAAGGAAGAAAATCCCACAAAGAAAAGCACAAACCTTTGAATTCCTTCAACAACAACCTTTTCTGCACTTTCTCAACAGCAATTGGGGATAAATCAGTGCAAGTGATGTTCTTAATCCCATTTTTATACATTTCATCACTTAATTGGGAATTTCCACAACCCAATTCCAAAACCTAAAAATTGAACAAATTCATATCAAACCCATAAATTTAAAAAATTAAACCCTTCAAAAATTACTATTCTAAAAATAATGAAACAGAGAAATTACAGAGGAATTAGGTTGAATATTCTCCAAAATTAGGTGACGAAAATGGGAATAATCTTTGAGCCATTCATAATGTTCTTCCTTAGCAAATCTATCGTTCCTAAAAGAAAATTTTAGAAATTTAATTAGATGCAATAGAATTGAGCAAAATTTTTTAGAGTGAAATTAAAATTAGAAACAGAGGATGGAAAACAAACCAGTAAAGTGGATCAAGATAAGTCAAAACGGAAGAGGGTGCTACTGTATCTTCGAGATTCTTCTTCTCATAATCCATAAATGAGAAATTCTGGGTACCTTTGATTTCAGAGGGTTTTCTAAAACCCTAAATTGAGCAAGACTTCTGCAAGAGCAAAGATAGGGTTACAGCCGTTACAGGTAGGGGTGAACGTGGTCTGATTTGGTGCGGTTTGAGTCAAAACCAAACCAAACCGCATAATACGATTTGGTCAATTTTCCAAACCAAACCATATTAGTATTGAAACCAAACCAAACCAAACCGTAATAATGCGGTTTGGTTTGCGGTTTATGATGGGACGACATTTTTTCCTAAAAATTGTCTAATATTAATAAACTAGATGAAACCTGTGCGATGCACGGTTTGTTTGATTTTTTTTTTTTAAATAATGTTTTTTTTTTGTATTTATGAGCCTAAAATTGGTTATATATTTAGATAAAATTTCTAATATTAAAAGATAATATATAATATTTAATTAATTTAAACTTAAAAATCTCATTCGCCAATTTTGCTTACATGGCATTTAAATTATTTAATTCTAAAAGAAATTAATAATCTCTTATTTAATTGGCTACTACTAAGATTTATAATCCTACACGGCGCGCTGAAAAAATTAGATCCTACGAGATGAAAAAATTAGATTTATAATAAAGTTCAAATAATTAGGCCAAAGGGATTAAATTATACTACAAAGTTTTAATCAAAATAACAACCAACTAATCAAGTGCTAAGTGCTAACACAATAACACATAATAAAAATTAAACATAATATATAATAACTATTTGAGAATGAGTATAGAGTATAGAGTATAGTAGTATACTGACTGTATAGTCTTCTAATAATTTTTAATTTTTATTTATTTATTTTTTTTAATAATATATAATAACTATTTTAATTTATTTAGAAATTATATAAATATTAAAATGCGGTTTACTGGTTTACGGTTTGGTTTGGTTTATAATTTTGGAAAAATCAAACCAAACCGCAAACCGTACTTCCCAAAAAATCGAAACCAAACCGTATTTTTCTAAACCGTAAACCAAACCAAAACGCTAAAATGCGATTTGGTTTGGTTAAGGTCCAGACCAAACTGTGTACAGCCCTAGTTACAGGTCAACAAAAAAGAATTTGTGTTTAACAAAAAATATGCATTACTAAAAAAACATAAATACATTACAAAAAAATTGTGATAAAATTTTTATTAGAATTTCATGAAAAATTACACATCTTTACCAAAGATATCATCCCCCCCCCCCAACCCCCAAAAAAAAAATTTATCTCCAAAAAATTCAATTTTCCATAATAATTTCAGTTTTCTCTCTCTAAAATTATTTTCAACTAAAAATAATTCAAAATTTTATTTTCAAATTAAATTTCAAAATTCAAATATACATATGTTAAATGAATATAAGTTATAATGTAAATAACATATAATTCATACCCAAAGAGTACACGGATCAAATTCAAATAACATCCGATAATAAATAAATAAAATTAATATGATATATGATAATAAAAAAAAAAATAGAATTTGTGCGTCACTCATCATCACAAAGAACATATGAGCCAAATTCAAAGAACATACGAGCCAAATTTAAATAACATACTTTGTATTATTGAAACCCAAAAAAATGTTGAATCAATAAATATATCATGGTAAAACTGTAAAAGAACATAAGCATAAAAGAACATATTATCAAATGTATATAGCCATATAGGTATGTTCTTTGTACAACATATAAATGTTCTTTATCAAACAACAATATGCTATGTTGGCCTTCCGGGTGCAGCATGGTGCACCCTAGTGTAAAGTCCTATTTTCACTTAAAAGTTAGAATAAAAGGGGTAGAAACCACTAGAAAGTGTAATTTTGTTATTTCATTCAATTTTCACCCTATTTTTAAAATGAAAATGTAATACTACTTGCAATATGATTGAAAAGTTTTTTTTTCTCTTTGTTGGAAGTCATATTATTATTACCGGATTAGTAATTACCTTTATTTTAAGCTCATGATCCACTATTTCATACTTTTAACAATTTCTCACCCCCGCTTTAAATCATTGTTTGGCAAAAATAGTTGTTGAAACGATAAAATAGAGTAAAAATAGATGCATGATATTTAACAAGTAAACAATTTTTTTCAAAAGATACTGTAGATACCTAAAACTGTCTCCTAAAAACCAAATTCGATGATGAACTACCTTTCACTGTCATTATTGGTCGGGTTGAGTATTTAACCTTTGGAGTGCTTAAACCCATGTTTAATTCAATACATTTCGTAAACCAACCCAATTCTTAGCCCATGTGCCTAAACCATGACTTACTTTCCACTTTTTGTGTCCACATCACAAAGTCGAGCTGAACTGATTTTGTGGCCCTATAATTTTGATCTAAATATTATTTGGTTGAATAAGCCTTGAAATAATATTTCCAACGATATATCAAAAGCCCAATTTCAATTTAAAACGAAGAAGATATGAGCAAAACACTAAACTCGGCCCAAAACTGACACCCTTTCATTAAAACGGCCATATATTAAAATCTACAAATGATTTTGACTTGATTTTAATTGAGTTGGAAAGTAGACTTGATAAGCTTTCCAAGATATATTATATGTCTTATTCTGAGTCACAGATCAAAAGTTATCATAGTTTAAAAAACGCGTAAAAAACTGGATTTGCAGCGTCATGGCATAATTGCCACGCCACGGTGTTTGCTGACGTGTCACGGTGCCTTGTACCGTGGCACGGTACTCTTCACCATGTCATGGTGCTCCGTGTCTTTTCTACATTTTTTTCTCACATGCTTATGAGCTAATGAATCTGGACGCATTTTTAGACAAATTATACGCCGCGACACGACGTGCTTCATCGTGCCACGGTGGACAGTACCGTGTCACGGTGCCCAATTAGGGATTTTTTGCGGCTCTTATCTCTTTTAGAGTTCCGTGCTTCACCTTACTCTTTTTCTCTATATATACCCCCTTGATTTCTCCAGTTTCAGGACACCAAAAATATTCTCTCTCCTTACACCAAAAATCATTCTCTTCTCGTCCCTCTTTAGCCTAAACACTAGCCTCCTTATTCTCTTACAATACTTTCCCTAAGAACTCTAAGCAGTCCATACTTGACCTGAGGTTCCGTCCTTAAACCAAAGCATGAAAGTCAGAAAGAATTAACTGAGGGTTAGGACCAAATCAACTCTACTTTTTAATTTAATTGTTTCAATTTGATTTATATTTTTATTGAAGTTACTAACAATTTATTCATCACGTAGCAATTTAAAGGAGCACGCGAAATATGAGTAATTAATTACTTATTTTATTTTAATATTGATAGTATCATGATTAAGGTTATTATTATAATTTTATTTGACTAACGATATTATTGTTAAATTAATTTCAATATTAATGATGATTTTAGTATATTTTATATTGATCACTATATTGCATGTTAAAGAGAATATGTAGTTGAATATCACGCCTAATAAGATAATTTGGATAATCGGTTTAGGTTCCTTTTTAATCTTGTTATTTAAGTGATCACAAATAGTTTAGAAGTATATGTGTGCATTAATATTCAACCAATTTAGCATAATAATAGTTTGGAGCAAATTGAATCTTTGTTTGCATGCCTTTGAGATTGCAGGAATACTTTTCGCTTTAAGAATCGAGTAGAGGCCAATACGGGCGAATGTGACTCCATGACTAAAATCGTACTATCATCCATGATCCTCCTTTCATAGTTTCGAACCATATGGAGTTAGTAATCTTATGGATTATGAATGAGGTATAACATTCACGGGTCAATTGTTGTTGCTTATCATTGTCCCTTGTCGCGGTTGTCTTTTACGATCCGTGAACGGTTTACAAGTTCCTTAAAGCGGCCCCCTACTTTCCTTGTCCCTAATCGTATTATGTCAATTCCCACTTCCTATGAGTGTTAAGCATATTCACCACATGCTTACATAGGCACACTTCAAACGATGTCTACAGATACTCGCTATCTTTCAAATGCTAATATTTTTAACGTTTAAGTAAAACTAGGGTTGAGCAAAACTACCCGAAAACCCGAAAACTTGTTCAGTTACCATTCCGAAAATTAGGGTACTCGATCCGATAACCATAACGGTTCGGGTACCCGTTCCGATAATTTGTTATCGGGTATGGTTTTTGGGTATCATTTTAAAATTAACGGGTAGCCGTTCCGTTCCGATAAGCAATTATTTTGTTTTTTTTTCCTACTTAAATCTATCTTTTCAATATTTAAACTCTTACATTACTTCATTATCACTATAAATATCAATAATTAGTAATGTTATTAATAATTTGGTCAAGATCATGTGGTATTGTTGTTAATTAGTGTTAAAAAATATCATAATAACTAATTTTTTAAGTTTAATTATCACTATTGGATACTTTATAGGGTACCCGATAACCGTTCCGAAAATTCGGGTACCCGAAGTCCGAGTACCCGAACTTATCGGTTCGGGTTATGGATATCACTTTTAGTGATATTGGTTATCGGGTGCCCGAACCGTTAGTACTAACCGTACGGGTACCCGTCCCATGCTCACCCCTAAGTAAAACTACCTAAACGCTACCTCTACCAACTGGTACATGAAACGCTACTTTACCAAACACATTTATTTTTTTCCAACTAGTGTTTTGATTTGAAATGTTGACTGCCACCTAAAATGATACCGCCAAATAGAGCCTTACTTTAGAATAATATTTTTCTAGATCAGAGACTCTATGAGTGTGTTCGGCGCTAGCTTTTGAGTAGCTTTTAGGTAGCTTTTGGTGGTTTGACTTGGTCAAACCACTACTTAACAAAAAATGTGGGTGTTTGGCAAAGTAGTGGTTAGGGTAACTTTTAGTGGTGAAGGTAGCTTTTATGAAAAGCTAGAAAGATTAGCTTTTGAAATTAGAGGTAGCTTTTGAGGTAGCTGTTAGAAATTTAATCTATAGTTTTAAAAATAAAATATTGATTTTATATGTAACAGCTAGTCAACGCTACTTTACCGAACACTTATATCTAAATTATTTATCTTCACAGCTAACAGCTTGTTGACATCTAACAACCACTTGCACAGCTAACAACTACCTCCACAGCTACAACTACCTTCACAGCTATAATTTGCCGAACACGCCCTAAATTTGAATCTCAAATACCATATTTTAGAAACCGAGCATGGCAATTATCTAGAATTATTATTATTTATTAATAAATTTATACGAGTTGTATTTTTTGGTAGTTATTACTCGTATTAGTCAAGAGTGCGTGTCAAATGAATAAAATGCATCATATAGAATTATAGAAACATTTGTAGCCCTATTGACACGCTGGCTACTGGTCATTAATTTGTGAGAGTAACTCCTAGATAGACAGGGACGACTTGGAAAATTTGTACATCGAAATTCTTCCATGGGATTTCTCTTGAACGTTTCAAAAGTAAAGTAATCAATAGTAATCCAACATGACTCGGTTGATTTGGTATACTACTCCATATATGCTCAATTAGCTGCAAACACTTTGTAAGAATATTGAAAGATATGCCAGCGAATTGTGTGTCTGATTACACCCTACATATCCCGTCAAAAAAAAATTAAAAAATATTACACCCTACATAGATAAGGGACTAAAATTGTTTATTGTGATACATTACCCGAATATTACAAATTGGTCATTACAATTTACATAAATAATTCTGCGGTTCTTTTTATCATCAGTATGGTACGTAGTTGATACATTACCTGCACGAATTCTCCTTGATTGTTGTAATAGGTTAGGAATACAAGAAATTTTTTCATAATAATATATTTTCATATATTCCTAACGTAATCTAGCTTCCAAGAAGCTTGTTTCTTATTGATGATAGCTTTGCAGTGACATCAATCATACCCAACCTTTCTTGTGGGACCTCAGTTGAGCAACACAACGCAATTCCAAGTACAGAAGTTAGGATCTCCAATGCCAAGCTGCTATCAGTCTTTTCAGAGTCTACGTCTTTAACAAGGGCATGATCTAGAATTTCAATCACTCGTTCAGGTAGAGCTTCTTTCACATACTGATGAAGGCTAATTCCTTCACTGAAAATATCATTAGTAGGCCTTCTTCCTGTGAACATCTCCAGTAGTAGAATTCCGAAACTATAGACATCACCATTGGTAGACGGCTCATTTCCCAAACCATATTCTGCAATTTTTCACACCTGGTGTTATGATCATAATAGATGGGCGAGGAGTGCTTGCAGAGATTTGGAGAAAAATATAAGAATTTAGCAAATTACATGTGCTAATATATTAATTAGCCAGTTTTATTTACCTGGTGGAGCGTAACCAACAGTTCCCCTGACTCCAAGAGAGCTAGATGGGTTTGCATTAGAGCTACCGATGTTCTCTGAGAGAAATTTAGCCAACCCAAAGTCGCCAATATGGGCAACCAATTCTTCATCTAGGAGGACATTGCTTGGCTTGAGATCACAATGAATTATGGGTGCACCACAATGATGATGAAGATACTCCAAGGCACTAGCAACATCAACTACAATATCAAGTTTTTGTCGTAGACTTAACCTAGGTGCAGTATCTGTATCCTCCACCACATCATTTGCCACTGGATGCAACCAATCTTCTAAGCTTCCGCTAACCATGTACTCATAAACCAAAGCCTTGAAATCATTCCCTTGATAATCAACACTTGAGCAAGCAGTAATGACCTTGACCAAATTCCGGTGTCTAATGGTCCGGAGGACCCCACATTCAGCCATAAAACTCTTGGAGGCACCATGTTGCTCAAGGTTGAAAATCTTGATTGCAACAACTGATGGTTCCAGGTCATCAAGGATCCCCTTGTATACAGCCCCAAATGTGCCTCTCCCAATCAGATTGTCTAAAGAGAACCCGTTTGTGGCTTTTAAAAGTGTTTGGTAAGACAAGTTCGGATAATTCTCTGAAAAAGTACCCAAGGGTGTGGGTAATTTAGTCTTCTTTTTATACCGAACAATGTATATCAAAGCTAGTAAAAAAGATACCAGCATGATTGCTCCCAGAGATTCAAAAAGAACAGCAATTACCAATTTTTGCCTATGCTTTGATTTCCTTTGTCGGTCTCTCTTGAAATTACATTCAGGAAGCTTTAATTCCGAGATGCCTCCACACAACTTTCTGTTTCCCAGTAGAGAAACTACACTAGAATTACTGAAGCTTCCATTCACTGGTACCTCACCCTCAAGATTATTATAGGACAAATTCAGCTTTTGTAATGGGAAGCTTGCCAAAAAAACTGGAATTCCACCTGATAAGTTGTTGTTAGAAAGATCTAACTGTTGAAGACCTTTTAGTGAGCTCAAAGACAAAGGTATAGCCCCCTGGAATAAATTTCCTTCCATAAATAAGTCTTGTAGTCCAAAACATTCGCCAAGGCTGCTAGGAATCTCTCCTGTTAGCATATTGTCTGATATTTCCAATTTAACAAGATTTTTCAGACTCCCTACTTCAGCTGGGAGGGCCCCAGTGAGATGGTTACTGGACAAAATTATATTATACGCCGAGAGTGGAAGACTCAGAAGCTGGGGAGGGATGCTACCATTTAGATCATTTCGATAAAGGCTGAATTGTAGCAAGTTTTGGCAATTTCCAAGAGCCAAGGGAATACAACCTTGGAGCTTGTTTTCAGAAAGATCAAGAAGAGTAAGTTGTGTGATATTTCCTAGAGAAGATGGAATATTGCCTGAGAAGTGATTGTGATTTAGAAATAATGAACCCAGTTTCTGAAGCTTCCCTAATTGCGGGGTTATATTACCTGAGAGTTTGTTGAACCTTACACTGAAAACCAGCAAGTTGACGAGATCTCCTAGGCAAGGTGGAATATGGCCAGTGAAAGTATTGTAACCCATTTTCAATAATCTCAGAGTAGTAGAGAAATTGCAGAAAACTTTAGGAAACATCCCACCGAATCTATTGTCTCCAATGGAAAATGTTTCTAGTGAGGTGGCATTGGTCAAAGTGGAGATGAAGCCTAAATCATCGGCCCTGCCACTTCCAAGAAAGTTTCCACCAATACTTAGTCGAAAAAGGTTTTGCAAGTTCTGCAGAGAAGGAACTTTTCCTGTAAGACCAATATCATCCAGTTGAAGTTGTTCAAGATTTGAGGAGTTGGATATAGAAGCAGGGATTGACCCGGTGAAGCCATTATTTCCAGCATAAAAGATTCTGAGATTAGGCAGAGTGATGCCTATGTCTGATGGAAGATTTCCTTGAAAATTATTGAAACCTAAATCTAAACCAACCAATTTCGAAAGATTGAATATTGAAGAAGGGACAGTTCCAGACAATAAGTTGTTAAAGAGTGATAAAACAGTCAGAGTCTTTACTTTGCCTAGACTATCTGGGATTGACCCAACCAAGCCGATATCTGTTATTGACAGTTTAGACAGAGAAGATAAATTCCCCAGAGATGCAGGAATACTTCCTGACAGGTGGTTGTTATCAAGAGAGAGGAACTGGAGATTTGGCATGTATCCCAGTTCGATAGGAATCCTTCCAACCAACTTATTGTTGGGAACTCTGAGCTGAATAAGGTTGGAGCAACTTGATATGTTGGACGGAATTTGGCCTTCAATAGAATTGTTGTGCAGCAAAAGATATTGTAACCTGTGCAGACGACTAATCTCAAATGGTATTTCACCAACCAAGCTATTGTTGTAGAGCTCTAGGTCCACCAAAAAGCTTAGATTCCCAATAAATGGTGAGATTGAGCCTCCCAGTTCACAAGACTGCAACTGCAATGCTGCAACCCTCTGGTTTCTACGCCCACAGGTAACACCATACCACTGGCAGATATGGACAGCATCATTCCATGAATTCATCACTCCGAGGGGGTCATGAAACTTGGCTTTCAAGTCAAGCAAGGCAAGTCGATCTGTCTCATTATTCATGGCTATGGAGGAATTGAACTGACAGGTAAACAAAATAATGAAAAAGATTTTGCAAAACACTGAACATGATGATAGTAAGTTTTTGGTGAAGATCCCCATGTAAAGCCAATTAAGATATACTACTTGTATATGAAATGTGATATTTGGTATTGTTTTTTTCTTTAATAATTATAAGAATACAAGATGATGCTTTACTCTACTTAATAGTATAAGAAAAAAAATTATTGATCCAAGGGTCCCAACCTGGAGGAAAAAAGTCAATAAAGAAATATACTTTGGATTGATATGGTCAATCTCAGCCGCCACTGATTTGACAAAGGAGAGGACTGAGAACCTTCATAAGCAAAAGTTACTTGAGATTTGCAAAGTTGGAAATATACTCCCTCTATTTCACAATAATCTTCCCATTTTAAATGTACAAGCTTGTTAATGCATATATCTTTAGTTGAATATTAGTAAAAAAATACAACAATACAACAATTGAAGTAAATAAACTACTCATTGAGGTTAATTTTGAAAATTTTCTTATCTTATGATCTGAATAGTGCCAAGATTCCAAATTAGAAGATCTAGGAAAGTCAATAAATATTATTATGGACTAAAAAAACATTGATATGTTAGTTTTTCATCAGGTCACTTGAACAAAGCACAGTCTACAGAAGTAGTTGTAGAACTAATACATGAAGTTCAAAGAACAGAGAACAGAAAAGACAGAAAACAACTTACAGGAACATGACTTCAGAAAGTTGTGCATCACTTATCTCTAGATAAGATAATTAACCTTTAATAACACCATTCATAGGATTGGATCAAAAATCACTGATTTTCCAATATTCTTATCAGGACCTGGGAGCATCAGCTGGTCCTCTGCCATATGAATACGAAATAATATTGTCCTTCTCTCTGCGATTTGCATAACTTGGGAGCTTGTTCTTGATTGAAGAGAGCAGCAACGTCACTTATGTCCAACCTATCTCGTGGGAGCTCAGCAGAGCAATAAAGTCCAATGCCAAGTATAGAAATCAAAGCCTCTAGCATCATACATTTATATTCTTCATCTTCTACTAAGCCTTCAAGAAGAGATGGATCTAAAATCTCGGTTACTTTGTCAGGTAGGGCTTCTTTCACAAAGTGGTGAAGGCTCAAGCTTCCTTTTAACATGTCATTAGTAGGCCTCCTTCCTGTAAATATTTCTAGTAAAAGTATCCCAAAGCTGTAGACATCGCCATATATAGACACTTCATTTCCCAAACCATATTCTGCAATAACAATTCACGCAAATGTTATGATCATGAAGATGAGGTAACTACATGCTCCAAAAGTCCATCTGAAGTCATAATTTTACTGAACTAAATGTAAGTGCGTGGATGAGGAGAGGGATTGTTAGTTACCTGGAGGAGCGTAACCAATAGTTCCCCGAACTCCCAAAGAACTAGATAGATTGGAATTAATGTCACTGGTGCTTCTTGAGAGAAACTTTGCCAACCCAAAGTCATTGACATGTGCTACCATATCATCATCAAGGAGAACATTGCTTGGCTTCAGGTCACAGTGCACTAGGGATACACCACAATGATGATGAAGATAATCCAAGGCTAAAGCAACATCAACAGCAATATTGATTCTTTGCTGAAGATTTAAGTTTCTTGAAGCATAGTTTGCGCCATTAATTCTATTGATTTCTGGGTGCAACCAATCTTCCAAACTCCCATTTACCATATAATCATAGACTAGAGCCTTGAAATCCTTGCCTTGGTAATCAAGACTTGAACAGGCTGTTATAACTTGAACAAGATTCCGGTGTCTAATGTTCCGGAGTACCTCACATTCAACGATGAAACTTTTGGAAGCACCATGGTGCTCTAGTTTAAACAACTTAATGGCAACAACTTTCCTACCATGGTTCAGGCTTCCCAGGTATACGGTCCCAAAGCTGCCGCTGCCTAATATATTTTCAGAAGAAAATCCGTTTGTGGCTTTTACAAGGCTTTTATAGGACAAATTTGTAAGAGAAAATTCTGAATCATCTGATGTTATGGGTTCCTTGTTTCTCTTTCTGCAGCAAAAGACATATACTGATACAAAAACCAGCAATAAAACAGCACAAAACCCAGAAAGAGATGCTAATATTATAGTCATTTTCTGTCTCAATCTTCTTTTCTGGATGTTAAAGTTGCATTTTGGCAACTTTAATTCAGGTAGACCTCCGCAGAGCCCTATGTTACCGGTTGTTAAAACACCAGTTGCATTCTTAAAGATTCCACCAGTGGGAACCTCGCCTTCAAGGTTATTGTATGAGAGGTTAAGCAATTGCAATTGGAATGTCCCCAAATAGTCTGGAATTTTACCAGATAAATTGTTCTGTGACAAATCCAACTTACTAAGACCCTTCAGAGTCTCCAAGGTACGAGGAATAACACCTTGGAAAGCATTTCCCCCCATAAAAAGGAATTCTAACACTACACAAGAGCTAAGAGTGCTTGGTATTTCACCGGACAACATGTTTTCAGAGACATCTAAAGCACCTAGATTACTCAGTTTCCCAACTTCTAAAGGGAGGGGGGCCCTTAGGTTGTTATCATTCAGATATAGTGCAGTAGATAGTGCAGAAAGACTAAAAAGTTCTGAAGGTATTCTACCAGTAAGATTGTTGTAGGAGAGATCCAAAGCTAGCAGGTATTTACAGTGCCCTATAGTAGGAGGTATGTGGCCTTCAAAACTATTAGCAGATAAGATTAGGACACTAAGCCTAGTTAAGTTTCCAATTGAGGATGGTATGTAGCCTGATAGCTGGTTAAAACTAAAATCTAATTCTTCTAGGTAATGGAGGTTTCCTATACTCAGAGGAATGACACCAGAGAGTTGGTTCCCCCACACGTTAAACAGCTGCAAGTCGGCCAGGTTTTCTATACAACTTGGAATTTCTCCACCTATCATATTATTATCTATTACAAATTATGTAAGCATTGAGAAACTGCAGATAATCCTTGGAAAATTGCCTTTGAAAGAATTTTGACTCAAGTCAAGTACATTTAGGCTGGTGGCATTGACCAAAGAAGAAACAAAGTTCAAGCTACCAACTTGGCCAGAACCAAGGAAGTTGTCAAAAAGCAAAAGCTCGGAAAGCATAACTAGTTTCTCTAGAAAAGGAACTTGCCCTTGAAGTTTATTGGAGCTAAGTTGAAGAATTTCTAAATTTGAGGCGTTGGATATTGAAGAAGGAATGAGTCCAGTAAACTGGTTATTGTGTATAGAGAAGTACCTGAGATTCGGAAGCATGTTGCCTACGTTTGAAGGAAGGCTCCCTTCAAAGTGATTCTCTCCCAAATCTAGAGTAGTCAAGAATGAGAGATTAAAAACAGAGAGAGGAACAACACCAGATAAGTTATTTGAGAAGAATGAGAGAGAGGTAAGGTTTTTCAGTCTGCCGAGGTTTTCTGGGAGTTTTCCAACCAATTTGTTTCTACCAATAGAGAGTTTAAGTAGGGAAGATATGTTACCCAGAGACGGAGGAATGGTTCCTGTCAGGTTGTTTATTGACAATTGAAGAATTTGAAGCTTGGACAGAGAACCAAGCTTGGGTGGAATCTGACCCTTCAACCTATTATTTGAGCCATCTAACACAACAAGGCTAGAACAACCAGATATACTTTCAGGGATTTCCCTTTGAAATAAATTATCAGAAAACAAGAGATACTGTAATCTATGCAAATTACCAATTTCAGAAGGGATTGAACCTGTAAAGCTGTTATTTTGGAGCTGCAACTGCTTCAAAAAGCTTAAATTTCCTACATGTAAAGAAAGGGAACCAGTAAGCTTCAACGATTGAAGGTCCAGTCCAGTCACTCTTTTATGCCGGTTACTACAAGTAACCCCATGCCACTTGCAAAAGTAGGCAGTGTCATTCCATGATCTCATCACACCTAAAGGATCATCAGTTATTTTGGCTTTGATTTCAAGTAATGCTAAATGATCAGTCTCCATGTGATAATCAGCCAAGGAGGACTGAAGACAGTTACAGAAGAGAGAGGTGGCACAGAGAACCATGAGAAATTGTTTGTAGGGAAGCCCCATACTACAACTATATTTGAGAGTATTAGTTTCTAATTGCATACAGTTGAAAAAAATGTCTTGTCATTCTATATAAACCAAGGCTAGTATATTAACAAAGGTATCCACATTTTTACCAGATATACTAAACTAAGATAAAGCAAATGAAGGACTCCCTATTAGTGAATATCTAGGAAAAGCAATGGTGAGAACATGGAGAAGATTACCACCAAATAATTTAACAAATGATCGGTGATTAAAAAAAACAGTCTAATTTATCCCTGTGATCAAACTTCAGAAAGGGACATGAACTATTTTTTAAAATTTAATTTTTTTTATTATGTGCTTTTGGTTCTCTAAAGATCACTAAGACAGTAAGAAGTGTAAAATAATCTCCCCAATAAAAGCATACGGTCCAGTCTATATTTTTTCTTATAAAAAAGACCAAAGGATTACATTCATATTCATGAGTATAATTTTTTAATCCTTAAGTCTTGTATCAAACATTCAAACTTATGATTATCTCCTTTAATAAAACAAGGTACACCTACTTTCTCCCCCAAAACAACTAATCTGACAACTACACCGAAGGTTATTATATTGATTTTTCTGTCCTTTAAGGGGAGTAAAGTAGCAAATTAACAAGAACACTGATAAAAATATGATCTAAACATACACACTGATGGTTAAAATATGATCTTACTATACTTACCTTCCTATCTAACATCATACTCTATGGTCTCTTTCTATAAATCTTGTCCAGGGAACCAAAATGCGCCCTTAGAACTGAAATAATGGTTCCGAACAGACAAGTAATGATATCAAGTAGTTAGAAAAACTTATTTTAACTTCACAGGAAGAAATTCACAGTAGTCCAAACCTTAAGGGAAAAAAATATTATCAGACCACAAGCATCTCTTGAAAGAATAATCCCATTAAAAATAGAAAATGTGAGTCGAATAGAGAAAAGTGAAAGAATAACTATAGAGATTAACATTATTATCTCATAACCACCAAACAAACATGGGACTTTATTATAAATGGGATAGAATTTCCCATTCCCATTTTCTATTCCCACTAACCAAACACCCTCTAGCTTTTATAATTAGTTGGTCCATAATAAATGGGAAACAAGTTTATTTAACAACCACGACTAAATGCTGAACAGCAAAGTTTTCTTTTTGAAAAAGACAGCTTTCTATATCTGTTGGAACCATCTAGTATGAAGCAAGTAGGTTCAGCAATATATGCTCATTCATTGAATGGATACACACATGTACACCATGGAGGCATGGACTCCACATCACAGGAAGAAGAATGCAGCATACTGAAACAGGAAGCAAAACCAAACAGAAGAATGTTTGCAACAAAACATCTGTATTTTTTTATAATCAACTATACCATATAAACCTGGGTTATGTATCACACAAATATTTACATTCAACCATGAGTTTTCCACTACTACAATACATATCCAGAAAATTTTGGAGTAAAATAGTATACCTCTGCGACTCTGCTTTAAGATGGATATCTTCACAACCACAAGGCAAACTCCATGGATGGTACACCTTTGTCCCTTAATATTTGCTCCATTTGACCAAGGGGCAAACAAAAAGGGGTTGAGGGAGTAGGACTTAATCGTTAATAACATTATTGTTTCATCAACCACCTAAACTAATTCAAGAGTTTGAAAGAATCAACCCACCTGCATCTAACTGATAAAAATTGATTGATTAACAAGAAAGAATATACTAGTTTGAGTACTATTTCTACAAGTATAACCAAAATATTATCTCAACATTTTCAGCTAACGTGCTAGAAATCAAATACGCCAAAACCTGTCAAGTTTCATCAAACAAATCCCCAATAGTGATATTTCAAAAAAAAAAAAAAAAAAAAAAAAAAAAAATCCCCAATAGTGAAATTAAATTCCATTATTTATTTTTAAAGCAATTTCTACAAGCTACTTTACATTTTTCATCTTCCTAATTCTCCTTAAGTTGCTATGCATCTATGAAAAGATCACAAACAAGCAAAAAATCGAACTGTTTTCGATAAATGGACAAAAAGGTGAGCAACCGACATGTTAAACTGAAATCATTCAATAATCCCACCTTTTAAAAAGTTTGAGATAACTCTTATGAATAGAGTTTATACAATTATACTCTCTAAAACATATACTCTCTAAAACATTTATTCATTTATCTCCCCTCGTTACTTATAATAACTACTACTATATTTTAACTCTTAAAAATAGAGTGTGGACATTTATACACCTAAAATATTTGTTTGCATATTTTCCTCATTAATGCTTCTAAGTTCTAACGTAAGGCCAAATAGAAAGACTGTCCTGCACATGACTAGAATTTGTTAAATACACCCGGGTGTAATGTGCAACCGGAATTTTTTTTGTTCATTTATAAAATGAGTAAAATTTATCGAGCAAATTACCCGGGTGTACGGTACATCCAGGTGTACAAAAAAGGCTCTCGCACATGACTGACTAATTCACTATGCGCAATACAATATTCAGCTGATAATTGGTGATATCAGATCGTCCACAATCAAAAACATGTAAGCAGTCTTCCAAAAAAAAAAAAAAAAACATGTGAGCAAATTTAATAACTTATCCTAATTATAGAAAAATAAAGAGTAAATTTTGCATGATGTAACTCTAGTATCATGATTTCTCCAATTGATTAACTTGATAAATTCTGAATGGGAGTTCAACCCTAATTACTCAAATTGATCAAATAAATGTTAAGAACTACTCCACTGTCAGACAATAGATGCATTCCTAAACCAGTGATAATCAGGGAAGAACAAAAATATTACAGATAATGTTGTCAGAATTCTAATTTCATGACTATTGTTAATGCCAAATTTGTCAATCATACACCAACAAACTAAAATAATACATTAATTATTTCAAATTACAAATTTACAAGCAACATTTTTGATGAATTGAAAAAATTAGCAGTAATTACTTACCAAAATTGCAAGAACTCCATATCATCTTCAATTGCTCTTGGATTCTTCGTTTTAAATCAATCAACTTCTAACGTTTTTACAATTCACAACAATTAAGTATCGAAGTATGTCGTCTCAAAGAAGGAAAGAACATATCCATCTGAAAAAAAAATAAAATAAAATATATATATATAGTGGTCAAATAGTGTGTTGGAAAATAGAAAAACTAAAACAGTGCATCAACTGTTAAAGTTTTAAACAAAGGTGGTACGCTGGTACTCGACTACTCGTACGGTCATACCATTTTGGATTAGTGTCCCTAAGTGGTCTATTTCAAAATTCTTCTCTTTCATAATAATTGCAATAATCTCCGCTCTTGAGGCTCTCTAAACACTAAATAAGGTCCTGTTCTATTCACCTTTAAAAAATAATATTAGGTAAAAATAATTTCAGTTCAGTACTAATAAGTTCAGTTCTGTAAAATTAATTTCAGTTCTGTAAAATTAATTTCAATTCAGTAAAAATAATTTCAGTTCAGTAAAATAAGTTTAGTTCAGTAAAATTCAGTTTTATAGAAAATCAGTAAAAATAATTTCAGTTCAGCAAAAATAATTCCAGTTCAGTTTAATTAATTTAAGTTTAGTAAAAATAATTTAAGTTCAACAAAAAATAATTTCAGTTCAGTAAAAATAATTTCAGTTCAGCAAAATTAAGGTGAAGAGAACCAGGCCTAATAATAATAATAATATTTATAATAATTTGATTTTATTAATATATGAAAAACATATATTGCTATGTAAAATATTTTTGGATTGGTCTTAGGCATGTTCTCATTACATCAAACTTTTATATGGAGTAATAAATAATTTTAAACTTTTTGCTCATTATTTTGCAAATGAGCAAAAATTCGTGTAAATGAAAAAATATGCTTATATAATAGCCGGTTGTACGAAATCGGTTTTTGTTAAAAATTGTCTTTGACAAATACTAGATTAAAATGATGCATGTAAAGCAATTACAATGGGTACACATTTTTAACATTCTAAATTAAAACCCTAAACCTAATCCTTACCTTAACCCTAATTTTTTTTTCTATTTTTTATAAAAAACATCCTTAACCCTAAATTTTATTTTCAATGATTAAACTTTAAAAATTTCTTATTTATTTTTGGTTATTCAATAGTACTGTTACAAGCTTGTAGTGAAAGTAAAAAGCACATAAAATACATGTAAAGCAATTACTTGTACAATTATCTCTTATAAAACACTATCAATCAATCAACGATATAAGTTTATATAACAATACAATTCCAAAAAATTTACCAGTATTGCAAAATTCAATTCCTCACCTTAATAACTCGAGGATCCTACCGAACACATACTACTATACTAGTCTTTTAAAAAAAAATTGAGAAATAATTTAGTTCGTTAAAGCTTCCTTTCCAGTTTTAAGATTTTTCGGGATCAATTCTCATCACCTGTTGGCACGCAAATCAAAGCACAAAATCCAATAAAACGACGTCGTTTCAAGCTCCCTCAAAGGCCCCAATCAATCGGTCAATAGAACCCAAAATCATACACTCTAAAACGACATCGTCTCTTTTCTGAACAATCTCTAATCCAAAGGAAACTCCATCATCTTCAATGGCAGCAAAACCTTCGAAAGATGGAGACTTCCTGAAGCATCTAGAAGCTTACTTAGCAAAACGCGATGGAGTCGACAAACTCCTCAAGATATCGCGATACGCTTCCAAATTCATCATCTCTTCTTCACTCCTCCCCCACGCGCACCCCCTCACGCGCCGCCTCAAGTCGTTTGAATCCTCCGTTGGTCTCAGCCGAAAAGCCTTTCGCCTCGGAAAATTCATCCAAGACGTCAACGCGCTACGCTCGGTGGCGCGTGAGAAAAATCAGAGCCGTCAATTTCTTCTACTCTCTCTCCTCGCGTACGGTGGAGAAGGAATCTACTACTTCGTCGAACAAATCGTGTGGTTGTCGAAATCTGGTTTGATTGACGCGCGTCACGCGCGTGAGCTGCAGAAGGTAAGCGCGTGGGCGGAGTTTGTCGGGTATATTGGGAGTATTACGTTGAAGGTAGGAGATTTGAAGGAATTGGATGAGAAATTGAAGTGTTTGAATTCGAGTGTTGAGATTGCGGATGTAAGAGATGAGAATTGTGAAGAGGAGAGAGAAAAATTGAAGGTTTTGAGGTTGAAGATGATGATGAAGAAGATGTCGATTTTGCAGGATTTTGCTGATGGATTAATGGCGTTGGCCGATATTCGGGATGGTAAAGGAAAGATTTTTACTCCGTTTGTTCTTTCTTGTGCTGGATTGTTGTCTGCTTTGATTAGTACCCACAAAAATTGGGTTTCTTATTGATTTATTTATGTTAATTTATTGATTTTTTAGGGTTGAATTGGTGGAAAATTGATTAATATTACAGTAATAATCTTGTATTTGTGTAATAATACTGAAATCTGGAAATTGAATTGAATACAAAAATTATTTGCAATTTTTGTGCAATGTCTTTTAGCAAGTAGGAAATGTAGACGGGATTCGATCCCAGTTGATATCGGCTTGTGCAATGTCTTTGTATTTGGGTGTTTAAGGAACCAGAAGGCAATATATGAGAGCTGGTTGATGTTTGTATACAATTCCAATGTTGTACTAACAAAACCAGTATAATTGAAAATCTTGGTTTTCCTACCAAAAAAACTTGTGAACTTGATTCACATATACATTTCTAGTCGAGGAAAATAATCGATTGCTCGTTAGCTGACTTCATGACTGGTTAAATAGATGCACATTCTCATCTGTACCAATTTGGCTCTGATATTATGATAACAAGTTATGAGTGATAGGCTTGTAGCCTTGTAGGTAGCAAGGTTGTTCCTCCTTCTGTGCATGGAGTTGAATTTCGATGAGTTTATATGTGATTGAAGATAGTTTGACACTAGCACCGTGCATATGGAAAATTCATTCTGTGTCTTGGGTTGAAAATTGGTTTCAAGTGTCAATAACTGTGATCTTCAGCTCTTAAATACGGAGTACATAGTGACTTATGCCTTCTGGTTTTCCGAGTTGCTCTAAGTCTCGAACTACTGTGTCAGAACTGGACAAAAGTTTGTGTTTGTTAACTGAAAGTTGGAGTTTTGGTTTAACCTAGCAAGCATCCAATTAAGGCAGTTTCATGTTGATGATCTTGATGAGCGGCTTTCACAGTGGATCGAGCAGCTGCAGATCAACTTTCTTTCTGAATCAAATGCCTTACTGTTTGTGGACCACTGAAATTAAGGTTAGTTTTCTTGAGTGTACCTCTGGAAATTTTCTTTACTGAATACTCTGTATCATTTGTTGGTTCTGCCTTAATTCATTTTGTGCATTTACTCGAAAGAATTTAATCTTTGTTACAATTTTGTGTTATAGAATATGGATATTTCTCTGTATAGTTTCTGTCCTTTTTTGACCTTGTGAATGAAATGATAGTTACTTTGATGTTAAGTTATTGTGCCTTTCCGTTCAAATTATGGCTAGCTTTTGCTTAGTTCATTTTACTTGGTTGTGGAAGAAAATTTTAACTCACACTACTATGCTGTACCACAATGTATCCTTGTGCAGTAGCTATATTTGTATCTGTATTCTTTTCTGTTTATGCCAGTGTGTTTAACATAGGTTTCCTGCATGATTGCACCATAAATGCTATTTTTTTTTTTTCCGGATAAGCTGCAGTTTGATTTTTGTAGAATTTTAAGTTCGGGCTTTCATGATAACTGATGCACATATTACATAGGGTACACACTACACAGAGTAACCAAAATTACAAAAACAGAGAACTTGGAAATGCCGATCCATTTATCATCTCTAAACAAGATATATATGGAAATATTTCGCTGGCCTCTAGGTATCTCATGAAAATGGATCTAAGATAAGGAATTAAAAGTCTCATTGTGATACATCTAATTAATTAAATCATCAAAATAATATAGGCTGTATTCTGAACTAGATGGCTGCTTTGCTGTTCTGATCTTGAATCAGAACTCATAAGCACTAGTTATTAAAACCCCCTAAAAAAGCCTTTAAGAGAAGTCACTGAAGAATATTAGCTCATCTTGTTCTTCATGTCCATCACATCACTAGTTTGCTCGTGGGAGGCTAATGTTATTTAGACATTGATCACCTTTGTGTTCCTGCACCCAGAAGATTAAAGAGCTAACAAATCTGATATAAAAATTTCACTAAACCTCAGCTAGAGATGTAGTTGAAGAAGTAATCCTGCAATTTCTCTTTATATTATCATTTGTGAGGAAACATATTTTAAACATTACCTGCTCGAATTCTCCTCCTTTGTTGTAAACGAGTTCCAAGGAGCTTGTTTCTGATTGATGATAGCTTTGTAGCTACGTCACTTATGTCCAACCTTTCTCTTGGGACCTCAGCTGAGCAAGAAATTGCTATTCCAAGTATAGAAGTCAGCGCCTCCAACATCAAGGCGCTGTCTCGCTTGTCTGTTTCCTCATGGTCTATTTCATCAACAAGGACATGATCTAAAATTTCGATAACATTTTCAGGTAGAGCTTCTTTGACAAAGCAATGCAAGCTTAGGCCCCCCTTGAACATGTCGTTTGTAGGCCTCTTTCCTGTAAATATTTCGAGTAATAGGATTCCAAAACTATAGACATCACCTCTGGTAGACACCTCATTTCCCACACCATATTCTGCATGTAGTGCCTCTTATGTTATAATTGAACTAACATTTAATTATATGCTAAATGTTTGTTACAGATAGCTAAAATAGGATCACTACAGTACAGGTAGTTAATATATATTTAGAGATAGGTGTAAGAGCAATAGTTAATTACCTGGAGGAGTATAACCAATGGTACCTCTAACTCCAATAGAGGTAGATTGATTGGCTTGAGAATCAGTGATGTCTTTCAAGAGAAACTTGGCAAGGCCAAAGTCTCCTACATATGCGACCATATTTTCATCCAGGAGAATATTGCTCGGCTTGAGATCGCAGTGAACTATGGAGGTGCCACAATGGTGGTGAAGATAATCCAAAGCAAATGCAACCTCAATTGCAATATCAAGTCTTTGGCGAAAGTTCAAGTTCCTTGAGGTATCATTTGTGCCATCAGCTCTAGTGATTGCCTCAGTTGGATGGAACCAATTGTCTAAACTCCCATTCACCATATACTCAAAAACCAAAGCCTTGAAATCTTTGCCTTGATAATCAACACTTGAACAAACTGTTATTACCTTAACAAGATTCCGATGTCTTATGCTTCGGAGGACGCTACATTCTGCCAAAAAACTCTTGGAAGCACCACGATTTTCAAGGTTAAATATCTTGATGGCCACTGTTGATCCATCTTCTTCAAGAATTCCTTTGTATACGATCCCAAATGAACCAGTGCCAATTAAATTTTCAGAGGAGAATCCATTAGTTGCTTTAAGAAGGGTTTGATATGACAAATTCTGGAAATTATCTGAATCACCAGAAGATGTGGGTTCCTTAGGCTTCCTTCTAAACCAGCAAATATATGATACCACAAGTAAAGCAACTAGTAAAACCACTCCCAAAATTGCTGAAAGAATTACTACTGTCAATTTCTTCTTGTTCATCAGTCTTCTCTTCTTGTTGGTGTTGTTAAATTTGCAGTGTGGCAATTTTAAGACTGATATGCCTCCACAAATTCTATTGTTTCCAATGATGGAAAGATTCTTTGCGTTGTTGAAGACTCCACCTATTGGTACTTCACCTTCAAGGTTGTTGTATGATAGGTTTAGCCTCCTCAAATTGAGGCTTGCTAAAAATTTTGGAATTTTGCCAGATAAATTGTTGTATGACAAATCCATCTCTAGGAGACCAGTTAATTTCTGCAGTTCACTAGGAATAGTGCCTTGGAATCTGTTTTCATCCATGCCTAGGAGCTCTAATGATCGGCAACTTCCGAGAGAGCGTGGTATCTCACCTGATAGCCTGTTACCGGAGACATCTAGAGCTGCAAGGTTTTTCAATTGTCCAACTTCCTCAGAGAGAGATCCAGTTAAGTGGTTTCCATGTAGAGAGAGTGCAATAGTCAAGGAGGGAATGTTATAGAGTTGTGAGGGTATACTACCGGTAAGATTGTTTTCAGACAGCAATAATCCTATTAGTGACCTACAATTTTCAAGAGTTGGAGGTATTTGGCCTTCAAGGCTATTATTATACAGGGAGAGCATTGACAACTTGGTCAAGTTTCCTATTGAGGGTGGAATGACCCCGGATAATAAGTTATCATTTAGATTTAGAAGCTGGAGATTTTGGAGCTTTCCTATCCCTTGAGGAATGACCGAAGATAGTGCATTTTTGCTAGCATCAAAATATTGTAGTTCTGCTAAATTTTCTATGCAAATTGGAATTTCTCCCGCTAAGCTGTTGTCACTTAATACCAAATAAGTTATTGATGTGAAATTGCATATAATTTTAGGAAAACTTCCTTTGAACTTATTTTGATCTATCTCAAGCCATTGCAAATTAGTGGAGTTAGCCAAGGAAGAAACAAAGTCCAAATCTTGAGCTTGGCCATACCCAAGGGAGTTACTGTAAAGGACAAGGTGAATAAGGTTTACTAATTTGTGCAGAGAAGGAACTTGTCCTCGGAGATTGTTTTGTGACAGATCAAGAACTTCTAGATATGTGGCATTAGATATTGAAGCTGGAATATGTCCAGTAAATCGATTATTGTATATAGAGAACCACTGAAGATTTGGGAGAGTATTACCAATATCTGGCGGAAGGTTTCCTTCAAATTCATTTTGGTATAAACACAAGTATGTCAACAAAGTGAGGTTAAAAATAGAGGGTGGAAGTACTCCTGAAAACTTATTCTCACATAAATTTAGACTGGTTAGGCTCTTTAGTTTGCCTAGACTATCTGAGATACTTCCAACTAAATTGTTTCCACCTACTGAGAGCATAGAGAGGGATGATAAGTTCCCTAAGGATGAAGGAACATTGCCTGTTAAGTTATTTCTTGTTAACATAAGAAATTGCAAATGTGACAGGGAACCAACCGTTGGTGGGATTTTCCCCACAAACTTGTTTAGGGAAAGGTGTATACCAGTAAGGCTGTAGCAATTTGATATATTAGATGGAATTTCCCCTCCAAAGGAATTATTAGACAGCCGGAGAGTTTGCAACCGATGCAAACGGCCAATCTCAGGTGGGAGTACGCTGCTGAAACTGTTATTTTGAAGGTTGAGTATCCTGAGGAAGCTTAAATTACCAAGATGAGGGGAGAGGGTACCTGTAAGTTTTGAGGAATGCAAGTCAAGTACCGTTACTCTCCTGTGTTGACCACCGCAGGTAACTCCATACCACTCACAAAATGGGAGACTGTCATTCCACGAGCTCATGAGGTTGAGTGGATCATTGCTTATTTTGGCTTTGATTTCAAGCAGTGCTATCCTGTCTGTGCTAGTGTTGCTGGCTATTGAGAATTCAAGACAGCAAAGCGCAGACAGAGAGAAAATGATCCAGTATAATAAAGTGTTTGGGGTTGACATACTTTTTTTTTTTTTTTTTGATTTTTTTTGGGAGATATTATTTGATATAACTATCCTCATTGAAGCTATTCACTTATCTTTATATACAGATGCAGTAGTCAACGGTCGTAAAATAAGTTGCTGAAATGAAACGACCAGCACATTACTAGAAATGGTAGGGATATGCAAATTGTGGAGGAGCTTAGCCTGTTTATGAAACTTTGAACCTCCAAATCTGAACACCTTTCTATTTTTGGTGTTTTTAATTGACAAGTTGAATAATAATACAAGAGAACTTGGACTTGCAAATTTAGGTGTGGTCCATGTACTCTAAAATATCTTCACTGTCTGCTGTAAGTGATTGGTAGGACTTTGGCTTGAAAATGAGTAAAGTGAAAAATGCATGATTTTTTTTTTTTCTTTTGACAGCTAACACAAAACAGTTAACAGACTAAAACTCTGTTAGTACTTGAACCGTTACTTTACCCAAAATTTGTTCTTTTTGCTGAACAAGGGTGGATCAATTAGTAACTTTGCCTGGGGTTTTACCTGTGAGAAACTGAGAATGTCTCTTTATTGAATTTTACTTTCTGGTTCTTTAATTTGTTTAAATATAATGTAGGGTATACAGGATGCATTTTTGCTTTACATAATTTCTGGCAATATCATTGAAATCTAGACCGTTTTGTTTTTGTAAAATGATGCTTGTAGAGTTGCGCGCTGTAATTGAATGGACACAACGAACCTAGAGATATCATCCAATGTATTGTCTGATTGTTCACATGATGGAATGTTGGCATGCTTTTACTTAATTTATTTTGATCAATTGTGAAAGATTCCACCATTTCCTGCTTGTATGCAGGATTGCAGAAATTACTTATGTGTGCCATTGAATGTTATACAATGCTAGCAGAAAAACAATCCTTCTCGATGCTCTTCAATATACCAGAATACTTGCTAGGGTGCTAGATTTATCCTCTATTTTGTGCACAAGTGCCAAAGAGCTTCTTGCTAATTAAGGATAGCTTTGCAGCAACATCACTCATGTCCGACCTCTCTCCTGGGACTTCAGAAGAGCAATGTAGTGCGATTTCAAGTATAGAAATCAAGGCATCCAACTTTGCGCTGCTGCTCGCATTTTCCCCATTGTCTAGGTCTTCAAGAAGAGCAGGATCAAGAATCTCAGCTACATGTTTAGGTAAAGCTTTTTTCACAAAACTGTGCAAGTTCAGACTGCCTTTTAATATGTCATTAGTTGGTCTCTTTCCTGTAAATATTTGCAGTAAAAGGATCCCAAAACTATAGACATCGCCGTTGGTGGACACCTCGTTTCCTAGACCATATTCTGCATGTCATATACATACCTCAATACGATATATTTATATTGTTTACATAATTATTTGGAAATGCAGGGTATAGCAAGTTACCTGGAGGCACATAGCCGATAGTTCCTCTAACTCCAATAGAGCTAAATTCTTTGCCATGAGAGTTGGTGATGCATTTCAAGAGAATCTTGGCTAGGCCAAAGTCGCCTACATGTGCGACCATGCTTTCATCAAGGAGAATATTGCTTGGCTTGAGGTCACAATGAATTATGGAGGCACCACAATGATGGTGAAGATAATCCAGAGAGAATGCAACATCAACTGCAATGTCAAGTCTTTGGCGAAAATTCAAGTTTCTCGTGACATTTATGCTCTCAACTTGATTGAATACCTCTGTTGGATGCAACCATTCTTCCAAACTCCCATTAACCATGTACTCATAAACCAAAGCTTTGAAATCTCTACCTTGATAATCAACACTAGAACAAGCTGTTATTACCTTTACCAGATTTCGATGCCTGGTATTTCGGAGGATGTTGCATTCTGCCGTGAAGCTCTTAGAAGCCCCATGGTACTCTTGCTTGAATATCTTGATGGCAACTGTTGATCCATCGTTATCAAGGCTTCCCTTGTATACAACCCCAAATGTACCACTGCCGATCAAATTTTCTGAGGAAAATCCATTTGTGGCTTTAACAAGGGTTTGATAAGACAAAAAATTATCTAAATCACTTGAAGTTAAGAATCCCCTAGCCCTCTGCCTTTTCCAAAAGCTACACAATGACAAAAGTATAACCACAAGAACTCCGAATAACCCAGAAAGAATCGCAAATGTCAATCTCTTTCTGTGCCTCTTTTTACTTTTTCCGGTGTTGTGGCTCCAATTACATCGGGGTAACACTAAATCAGATATGCCTCCACATAGTCTATTGTTCCCGGATATTAAAATACCAGTCACATTGTTGAAGACTCCTCCTATGGGTACTTCACCTTCAAGATTATTATGCGACAGATTAAGGCTTTGCAACTGGAGGCTTGTGAGAAATGTTGGTATTTCACCGGATAAATTGTTGTGTGACAAGTCTAACCGAAGGAGACCCCTTAATGTTTGTAATGCACTAGGAATGATGCCACTGAAATTGTTTTCTTGCATGTTTAAGAACTCTAATGATACGCAACTACCAAGTGAGCTTGGTATCTGACCTGATAGCATGTTATGAGAGACATCAAGTTTGTTAAGATTGTTGAGCTGCCCAACTTCTTGAGGGAGGGTCCCAATTAGATGGTTTCTAGAAAGATTGAGTGCAATGGATAAGGCAGGAAGATTAAAAAGTTGTGATGGTATCAAACCATTAAGCCTGTTTTGAGAAAGATCTAATTCTATCAGTGATTTACAATTTTCAATAGTTGAAGGTATTCGGCCTTCAAGGCTATTATTGAATAAGGAAAAAATAGACAATTTGGTTAAGTTTCCAATAGAGGGCGGAATAACTCTGGATATATGGTTACCATTCAAATTCAAATAAATGAGATTTTGGAGCTTCCCTATACCTTGGGGAATGACCCCAGAAAGTGTGATGTAGCCAGCTGAAAAAAATTGCAATTTAGCCAATTTTTCAATGCAAGTTGGAATTTCTCCACCTAATTTATTGTAGCTTAGAGATAGAAATCTAAGCGATGAGAATTTGCAGATGGTCTTAGGAAAAAATCCTTTGAAGTTATTTTCAGCTATCAAGAGCCGTTCTAAATTGGTCGCGTTGGCCAAGGAAGAAACAAATTCCAAATCTCCAACATGGCTATAGCCCAGGGAGTTTGTGTAGAGGACAAGTTCAATAAGGTTTGCTAATTTGTGCAAAGAAGGAACAAGTCCTTGAAGATTGTTCGCTGACAAATCAAGGACTTCTAGATTTGAAGCATTGGAAATTGAAGTTGGAATATGTCCACTAAACCAGTTATTGTATAAAGAGAACCATTTTAGTTGTGTTAGAGTGTTACCTAAATAGGAAGGTAGCTCTCCTTCTAAGTCATTTCGGGCTAAACTTAGATCTGTTAGTGAAGAGAGGTTGTAAATTGAAGGTGGGACTACCCCGGAAAATTTATTGCCCTCTAATACCAAAATGTTTAGATTTTTAAGATTGCCTAGCCACTCCGGGATCCTTCCAACCAAATTATTTTCACCTATGTGAAGTTTAAGGAGGGATGATAAGTTCCCAAGAGATGAAGGAATGTTTCCAGTCAAGTTATTCCCTGTTAAAACAAGGTTTCGCAAATGTAACAAAGAACCAAGCGAGGGTGGGATTGTTCCAACCAGATTGTTATAAAAAAGGCGTATATCATTAAGATTATAACAACTTGATATATTTGTTGGAATTTCGCCTCCAATGGAATTATTATTCAACCATAAAAACTGCAACCTTTTCAAACAACTAATTTCTTGTGGTATTTTTCCACCAAAACTATTATCTTGAAAGTACAACTCCCTAAGGAAGCTCAAATTACCAAGGTGGGGGGAGAGGATACCTGTGAGCTTCGAGTTACTCAAGTCAAGTTTCGTTACTCTCTGATGTCTACGACCACAGGTAACCCCGTACCACTCGCAAAAGTGAAGGGTGTCATTCCATGAGCTCATCACCCCAAAAGGGTCATCCCTTATCTCAGATTTGATTTCAAGCAATGCTAGCTTGTCTGTCTCGTTGTTCCCAGCTATCGAGAGCTCAAGATGGCAAAACAAAGTCGCAGCCAAAATTATCCTGAAAAATAAAGAAGACGAGTGTAACATGTAAAGTTTTGTATGTGGATCGGAAAGGGCCATAACTAGCTTGGCTTGGTATTACATACTAAGTTTACAGAAAGGAGACATTTTATTCAGATGTTGTAAAGGCACATGTAGAGGGCAATTTGAATATTACAAATTGTTAGGATATAATACCCTAAATTAATATCCTCTTGTGATTTTAATACATAATAAAAATATACAATAGGGACTTATATACCTTGTAACATGATCTTGATAGTAAAGACTTTGACTTTCCAATTGGAACATGGACTAGCTAGATCGATGGACGAATCTCTAAGTCAACCTTTACATTTATTAATATTTTTAAGGCAAAACTCAAGCAATGATATTCAACATCTTATTAATCAGTTAATTAACTAATTTATAGTGGACAAAGACTATAAATGAAGGTAACGTTAATCACTGTTTAAGTCAACTTTTGTGTTTGCATAGATACTTGAACAATATGATGCACAAAGTACTTAGTATTACTTACTTCCTCTGTTTTTTTATATTTGCAACATAACTTTTTTTATCACGCTTATCGATGAGGTGATTAAATTAGGTAAACGAATGAATTAAGCTATGAAATTTAAACTGTAGCAACTTATTCCTTCCTTAACATGCGTGTCAAAGGGGTGTGTTGCAACTAAATAAAAACAGAGGAAGTATATATGAAATGACTACCGTAGATTTAGTGGTTTAAATGACTATGATAAAATTTTCACGGGTAATGACATTTTTGTCTAAAAGGAGATAATTAGAGTATTAGACTGTGAAGTTGGGGCATATGTCTCGCTAAACCAAAAACAAAATTACTACATCAAGCAAAATAATCAGGTTTAACACTGTATAGTTCCTGTTTGGGTCCAATTTATCTAATTGGGCCTAGTCATGTATTTGGGTCCAATTATCTTATTGGGCCTGGTCACTAAATGACTCCATATTCCAAGGTCAAGGCCCGAGCCTCCAATCAAGCCAAGTCAACCAAGAGTCCTTTGGTTCAAATTGCCATGGTCAGCCCATGACTATTTAGAGGCCCAATTACTCTCCTCTCATCATGTGCAAAGGTATAAAAGCCTTCAATTCATTCATTTGTATAGGACAACACAACAAAGCCTCAAGCAATAAATCTCTTGCATAGCTTTTTCTCTCAAAACACTGTTTGACTTCGGCATCGGAGGGGTCTTCCTCGGATCCACCCCCGAGGCCAGTTTACGTGTTTTAGTTGTGCAGGAAACCTTCGGCCCAGCATCAATTGGACCGGACCAGTCTTCAGCCACTTCAGCGGGCCTTCGGCAAGGCCCCATTGTTTTCATCCGAAACAATTTGGCGCCGTCTGTGGGGAAGACTTTCAAAAATCTTTAAGCCAAATTTCTAATCAAAATCATCTTGCAATCATCTTAGTAGCAATGGCTAAGAACCGCAAGAGCAAAAGCCTCCGTCAAGGAGCAGGCGAAAAGCCTAAAACTCCTACACCATCACCCTCACCGGACCGGAACTCTCCCAAGGGTGCCAGTTCGGGGGGAGGATCATACAGGGAGGATTCCCTTTCTCCCGTAATTCACAACTCTCATCATAGGCCGAGTCCCTCTCAGTCTAGCAGAGGTCAGTCCGATCATAGGACTCATTCAGTGCCCCAAAGCCAACCATCGACCATCCGCTCTCATTCCCACACTCAGCCGAGGACCCCTTTGACGGGGCCCAGCTCGGAGGAGGTGGCAAGAGCGCTGGCAGTGCTCATGGAGGCAATGAGGGCACAAAATATGCCTCCACCTCGCGATCGAACTCCTCCGCATACCCGGCATCAGCGGAGGAAGCTAGATCATGATGATGGGAAACCTCCTTCCTCCCGGGAACTGGAAAAGTGGGAAGAGGATACCTGGAGAACTGAAAGAGAGAGGAAAAAGAACCCTCAATTTTTCAGAGGATCCTCAACCTCTCAACCAGAAACGCATAAGAGCAGCAGCTCAGCTTCTCGGCCAGAATCTGCTCGCCGAGAGCAACCTGAGACTGTTCGCCGAAGCGTCCTCGACCGACTCGGCGGCAAGGAACCGAGCGTGCACAGTCGCCTCTCGTTCCCTGCAGCCGAGGCCCAGACTTCCCAGCCAAGGACGAAAACCACTCTTACCTCTCTAAGAGGGCGGAGCGCGGTCCCTTCGGCCAGGAACAAGGGCAAGGCTGTTATGCTACCCACCAGTTCCCCATTCGAGCAGTGGATACTGGAAGAGCACGTGCCCACGGTTAAAATACCGTCGCACATCACATATGATAGGACTTCGGATCTGAAGGACCACATTGCCTCGTATGAGGCTCATATGCATCTTTGCCTCAGATCCGAAGCGACTTGGTGCAAATATTTTCCAACCACTCTAAAGGGGGTCGCGCAAGCATGGATCTCCAAGGGAGCGAAACAAGGCTCTATAACAGGGTGGGAAGACCTGTCCATCAAGTTTAAGAGCAAGTTCTCCACGGCAAATCGCCGAGAGAAGACCACTACAGAACTCATGGGTCTGCAACAAGGGGAGGCTGAAAGCCTCCGAGACTATCTGACCCGTTTCAGCAACGAGTCGTCCAGCATCTCTCAGCTGGACCAAGGGTTAGCCGTTTTCACCCTTCAGCACGGCCTCAGAGCAGGGCAGTTCTCCGACTTCATGGTCATGAATTCACCCAGGACCTTGGAGGAGGCGTTGAATGCTTCGGATAAGTTCATCCGAGCTGAAGAGTGGAACAAAACAAAAACCCAACCTCAATCTGGGGGAGGGAAGCAAAAACAAACACCCTTGTCTGAAGGCCAAGGCCAGAGGACAAAGGGAAAGGCGAAGGCCTCAGAACAATCTTCGGCCAATGAGCCGAAGAAGGAAAAATCTGCCTCATACACATGCAGATACGAGTCCTACACTCCGCTCTCTCTTCCACGCGCCAAAACTTACAGCGTGACGAAGGAAGAGCAGAGTTACCAAAAGCCGAGACCACTCCAAGAGTGGTATCAGCGAAAAAATAAAAATCAGTGGTGCGAGTTCCACGAATCTCCGGAACATATCACTGAGGAGTGTATCCAGATGAAGGACCAGATCGAGGACATGGTCCGGAAGGGATACTTGAAAAAATACATCGCGGATCACCGCGAGAAAAAGAAGGTCGAGAAGTCAGCAAAGGACTCTCGGCAAGACCTCGACTTTCCCCGGAAGAACAGTAAAAATGCGGAGGGAAAATTCTCTCCGATCAATGTTATCTCGGGAGGAATATGCTCTCGGAGGGAACACAAGCGACACCTTAGGGCTCTGACCCACCAGGTGAACAATGCTGACATTCAACCTCCCCAGTCGCCGGTGCCGAACATGACGTTCACAGCCGCCGACTGCCAGGGGGTAACGTTCCCTCACGAGGACCCGTTGGTGATCATCGCCACGGTGGCCAACCACGACGTCAGCAAAGTTCTTGTTGACGGCGGCAGCGGCAGCGGAGCAAATATTCTGTTCCGAAGGGCCTACAATCAAATCAAGCTGAAGCCCAAGCACCTTACGCCGGTACTATATCCATTATTCGGATTTAACAGGGCTTCAACTTACCCAGATGGGAAGGTGACACTTCCTGTCACCATCGGCTGCGATGAGGCAGCCAGGAATGTCATGACTGAATTCTTGGTCATTGACGCTCCTTCAGTGTACAACGTGATTTTGGGGAGACCCATAATTCACGAGATCCAAGGGGTCGTCTCAACTTATCATCAGCTGATGATTTACGTCTCAGACGCCGGCTTCCCCGAAAGGATCCAGGGCAACCAAAATGATGCCCGAAGGTGCAACTACCTCAAGCCATCCACTAGTCGCCCAGATGACGACGACAAGGATGAGGAGGAGAAATAAAAAGAAAGAGAGCCCAACACAAAAAAGCCGAAAGGCCTAAGTGCCTCGGCCCAAGGTTCCGTGCCCAGAGAAAAAGGGCCAGAAAGGGAAAAGGCTAGCTCTTCATTTGAGCCGAAAGACTCAGAGAGCCAGCCGAAGAACAAAAAGTCTGGGACGCCTGCTGACATAGACAACAGGCCAGATTGTGAAGAGTCCAGTCCATCAGCAATGGACATGGACCAACAAACTGAAACGGTCGAGTTGACCGAAGGAGACTCTGAGAAATGTGTAACGATTAGGATGGATCTTGATCCGAACACCCGTTGTGAACTTATTCAACTCCTTCGGGACAACAGAGATGTGTTTGCTTTCTCGACAGCTGATATGCCCGCGATAAGTCCAAACCTCATCTCCCATAAGCTTAACGTTGACCCAACGTGTCGACCAGTTAAGCAAAAGAAGCGGAATTACTCCGCTAATAAGAACCGAGACATCGCAGCCGAGGTCAAAAAGTTGTTGGAGGCAGGCTTCATCGAGCCTTGTCAATATCCAGAATGGCTGGCAAATGTGGTGATGGTTCAGAAGGCCAATGGTACCTGGAGGATGTGCGTTGACTTCACGGACCTAAATAAGGCTTGTCCGAAGGATTTCTATCCCTTGCCGAGGATCGATCAGCTAGTCGATTTGACAAGTGGCCACGCCTTGCTTAGTTTCATGGACTCATTCTCGGGGTATCATCAGATCTTCATGCACCCCGACGATCGAGCAATGACGGCATTCGTCACGAACGCCGGGGTGTACAATTATAAAATGATGCCCTTCGGATTGAAAAATGCGGGGGCAACCTATCAAAGGCTGGTGGATCAAGTTTTCGCCGATCAAAAGGGCCGAAACATGGAAGTCTATGTTGACGATTCGATCGTCAAAAGCAAAAAATCTGAGGACCATGTTAAGGACCTGGCTGAAACCTTCGCCGCCTTAAGAAAGCATCAAATGAAGCTGAATCCGAAGAAGTGTGTCTTCGGCGTGAAGTCAGGGAAATTCCTTGGGTTCATGGTCAGCAAGAGGGGGATTGATGCCAATCCCTCCAAAGTCAAAGCAGCGCTCGACCTTCCTGAGCCGAAAACATAGCGGGATGTTCAGCGGCTCACCGGAAGAATGGCAGCCCTCTCGAGGTTCATTTCCA